AAGGACACTAGGAGATGGAAGGAAAGTTTTATTGTGGCTCTTATTGCCCCAAATTGGACTGACAGGATGGCTTGTATGTGCAACAATCCTGTCTTTGCTGTGGCAAACAGCGCCTGTTTTCTCACAGCGCTGTGGAATCAATATTCTAGGAGTTTAACGAATTAGAGTTATATCCCCGAGCACATTTTAGATTATTTGATCCCTAAAACACGGATGTATGAATACTGAATTATGAATTTAGTGGAATTTTTCGACGCTTGTAGCATTAAAACAGCACTACATGCAGGTTTAAGTATCTTTGTGTCGTGCGTAATGAGTATTTGATCCCGGATAAAACAATGATATTTTTTTAAATTATTAAAAATAATCCAAAAATAGGACCCAACCCCTATGTGACAAAAATGTTTTGCGCAATATATGCCATATACGATATGGTAAAATATTACATATTTTGAGTTTAATTCTAATGTATTATTTAAAGGAAACCATTACCGTCTGTTATAGAGTAAATGTTTTTTCTTACATGGAACAATAATGTGATGTTAAAAAAAAAAAGTTTCAAAGGACGCATGACTTCTTTTAATGTGAAACCAGCTATGTTGCATAAAGGCTTTTTCGTTACGTTACCTTCATTGATTTTAATTGACAGGGAATTGGTAAACTGTCGATACGCACAGGGATAGTTTAAAAAAAAAATTATTATATATTTACACAGCTTATTTAAAAAAATAACAAGTCAGTAATTTGGAGAATACGCTAAGACAGTTAAAAGAATTACACTCGATATTAAAATACTTCAGAGAACTTTCCTGTTGTAACAAATCTATTAGCCTACATAAAAGAATACAGTGTGTGTTCACTTTATCTCTAGCAAACATTAGCTCTTTTGAGTTTGAGTTTGATTGTAGCACGGAAGAGCTGAGACTGTCTTAAGGCTAAAGGAAGCATCATATAATATGGCTTCTTTCCAAGTCATTTTGCCATTGGCGGATTCTCCCTACTGTTAGAAACCTTTTTTATTACCACTACGTCCGATGGCTTTGTTGTTGTATTTCTTTGGTGGTGGGATTCTACAGCTAAACTTTTTAACTTGATCTTCTTGCTTCAGGCCATATTGTATTATGTACACAAACATTCTGTGTGTGGTTGAGGGCGTAATTGTATGCTTGTTTCTATATATTATTGTCTCCTTCTCTTACCTCAGCAAAATCAGTTGACAAGTTTCAGATTCTAAAGATCTGAAGCTTTAAACTGTGTTTTTATTGCTGATCTTTGTGGTGACATATGATTTGCATACAGTGCACTGCATGGAAGCAGTGTTCAAACAACACTTTGTGGTTTGTACAGTAGGAAACGGATTTCTAAGCTTATTTAAACCACAAATTCAGTAGATTCTTAACTTTAGCTCATCAATATTTACTGTTAAACTTTGTATCGTGTTGGACCTCGCCCCTAAATGGTGGTGCATTAAGGCGAGGTGAGGCAACACACTGATTGCTGTGCTGTCTTCTTTCTCTGCCTCAGCTCCATGATGGATTTCGCTCCGGCTTCTACGTAGCTGCGGTGTGGGAGGGACTGCCCATCTTCCAGCATTTCCATTGGTTTTACAGTCTGCATGGTGAAGAGGGGGGTGCCTCTAATCATATCCAGCATGTTTTGTACAAGAAATGTCAGCCAGAAAGGGCTATCTTCTCCCTTCGCCAAAATACACCACAATAATGTCATGTTCGGACACTCCGTCAGGAAATGCGTTTTTAGTGGATTCTCTGATCAATGGCCGCAGCGAAAGTGCCGGAGGTCACTACGCAGGGAGCGCAGTGTGCGTGCCCCATAGCACCGCAGCTACAGAAGTGCCTTACGGACTACACAATTATGGATACTTCCCAGGTATGGGTAAGCGGGGCGAGGTGGGTCCACAGAACATTGTTTCTGGCTCAGGCGCGTACATGTCCAGCATGGAGATGTGGATGGACGCGCAGAGGTCATGTCGTATGGACCAAGAGCACCCTGCGGTTCCCCAGGTCGCGCCCTGCTCGTTCCCGCAGAACATTAAGGAAGAGAGCACATACTGCCTGTATGAACAGCCCAAGTGCCCTAAAGCCTCCACCGCCGAAGATCTCACATATTCGAGGTTAACGACAGCCGGACTCGGTTCGAGTTCCTGCACAGGTACCGATGGCGGCGGCGGTGGTGGTGGCGGGGGCTCAGTGCCTGTGCCGGGCTACTTCCGCTTGTCTCAGACGCACGCACATTCTCATAAACTTTACAACAGCAACGGCCCCCAGCCGAACCCTTCCCATTCTCATTTTGGCCTACACCCCACTGCTCCAGCTCGCTTCCATACGCCACCAACTCCGACTTCTGCTCCAGCCACGGCGCAGGAAGGAAGGACCACCGAGGAGCCCGCGTCGTCGGTAAAAGCCGACCTGCAGCCTCACCCTGGACCGGTGACCGATGAGGCACGCGAGTCCTCGGACGCGGAAGCCTCGTCGGGTGACGAGACGGAAGAACATGGCAAAGCTAGACCAACAAAAGCTACTAAAGGTAAACATAATTCGTCATAGGTGTGGTCCTGTAAAGTTCTGGTTGTATGCTGCACAGGTAGAGAAGACAGGCTTTTTATGGCACCTGTCAAGTACCATTTTAGTGTACCGCAGAGACCGGTCAAGACACGGGTACCAAAAGTGTACAGTAATGAATTGGACCTTGTTTTTATACTATGAGCTTTTGATTAAGTTGAAGTGATATAAATGTGCATCATTACTGGCGTAAAACTATGCGTAGAATGAAAGTTAACAGATAATTTGAGAGCAAATCTAGTTTTGGTTTAATCAGACTATTCGTTACTGTAAAACGAGATGAGATGTTTTTTTTCCCAGATGAATACTGCATGATACATTTTGTGTCCCTAAGCTAGTATTTCTATTTAGGCGCTGCGTAGAATACAGACCTAAATGAAAATAGGCCTACATGTAATCGTGTTGGCCTGTATTCTGTGCCATCATGTATTTGATATTAATTAAACACACACCATGTTTTGTATTCACTGGACTGTTGTTAAAAAAGTTCTATGAAATGTTACCTGAATCATACTCGTACCCATAAAACATACTTTACGCATAAGACACACACACACACACACACACACACACACACACACACACCTACACACACCTACACACACACACACACACACACACACACACCTGCACCCACACACACACACACACACACACACACACACACACACACACACACACACACACACACACACACACACCAGTCCCTCATATTGCAGTGCGTAAAACTCTTGTATCTGCCATTCTCTCCAGGAGACACAAAAAGTGAAAACATGGCTAACTGGCTGACAGCGAAAAGCGGCCGGAAGAAACGCTGCCCATACACCAAACACCAGACACTGGAGCTGGAGAAGGAGTTCCTCTTCAACATGTACCTGACCCGAGAGCGCCGCCTAGAGATCAGTAAAAGCGTCCACCTGACGGACAGACAGGTTAAGATCTGGTTCCAGAACCGCAGGATGAAACTGAAGAAAATGACGCGGGAAAATAGGATCCGGGAGCTTACTTCCAACTACGGATTTTCGTGATGAACGAGGTGATCACATTGAAATAGAAGTAAATGGGGGAAATCAATGGCACCCATACTCCCTCACCACTATGGCTGCATATTGACTCATTTTACTGTAGGGTACAACTCTCATTTTTATTACCAAACAAAGTCAGCGCATCGTCCTCTGTGAGCTACTGAGTACAGAAAAGGCAAGAAAATGTGAATATAATGGGTTACATTTGGTTTACGAGGGCGTGTTTTTGTATTGTAAACCTGTTTTTGTGTGGTTGGATTGTATCAGTGGAGTTAAATGAACACAATTTCAAAAGAGTAGAAAAGTGGCTTAACTTATCCACTTTCCCCTACTTTTGAAAATTATCTTTTTTTTTCTATTCATTTAATCCAAAAGTATGACTTTATTTTATTGAATTGGAATTGCATGATAAAACATTTTCACATAAAAATATTAACCCCCCTCCCCCATGGAATATAATGCCCATGTTTCACCAAGGGAAGAATAATTCACATATGGACATTAGCTGTAGTTTCCCGTGAAATAGAGTTATAATGTGTACGAGCTAAATGTAGAATTGAAACCTTTGTTCACAATGAGGACGTTCACACAACAACGATGCGCAAAGTGAAGGAGGAATGTTTTTATTGTATATTTCTGTGTACATATGACATTGTGTTTTTGTGTAATGCTTAATAAATTATCAGCTGGCATTGAGCAGTAGCAGCTTGTATTTTTTTGTTCTTTGGGTTTATATTTTTCAGCCGTTCTTTTTTGTTATTCAGAAGTAAAATGTTTTATTCAAATATTTAAAAGAAAAACACTGGCTTTTTGGTAACCAGTTCCTAGAAATGTTTCTAGAGGCTAAAGTAATGGTCATCGGAAATAATAAAGATATTAGGCTATAAGCCGTCTAGCTGCAAGCCCAGCCGGCTATTGTAGAGTTTTATGACTGGCTGGTATATGAGGTTTCTCCCTCTCCTCTAAGAGCTGCTTCAGTCGTGGGAGAGCCTTTGAGACGGAGAGGAGAGGAGGCCCGGCTCTGTGCTATTAATCTGAACTGTACAGAGACACTGTGTATTCATTAAACATTTCCTTCTGTGCTGGTGTTGGGAATACTGGCATTATCATCACCGGGATTTGGGTGAGTCCATGTGTCATTGTGAATTTTGCCTTTTGGGCATCTTGTTGCTGTAGCTTCACTTCTGTGTGTGTACGATAGAGATGTACTTTTTCTGTACAGATTATTTTTTTGGACACTTGATGACTGGACCGGAGAGCACGGGGCATTGTCTGTCGCTGGTTGTGTTCCACTTGAGGCCCTGATCGACTGTCGAGTGGTTTAGGTAGTTTCATGTTGTTGGGGTCAATTTCTAACTCTGCAACATGAAACTGTCTTAATTGCCCCAGTTACGCACATCGGAGAGTAAACGGAGACAAATCAGAGACACAAAGATGACTCGAATTGATGAAAATAGTGGAGACGTGTTTTGGAAGCATACTCTAATCCCCCCTGGTTTAGCCATCCGGAGAGGGTTGGGTGGCTGCTGTGTATATTCTTAACCTATCTCCTGCAATGTTTTCTTTAGAGTAACGCGCTTGTTTTCGACGTTACTGTGAGCCGCGCGCGCTTGTGTGCTCAATTTAAACGTGATCAAAGCTGAGCTACAGTATGCATCGTGGACTTGGGAGATTAAGAGTAAAGCCGCGAGAGTTTTCCGTGAGTAGTAGTGACACAGACACGCCAGACAAGGCCTCGGTTACGACCACTGCAGTGGAGGGGAAGGGGAAGGTGAATGGGGCAACAGCGACCTCCGTGGGCAATGAGACCGGATGCTTCCTGTGCGCAATAGTGGCTCAGACAAAAGGAGGGGAAGGGCTTTATGGCGATATTTAGATCCGCCAGACAGGCTGTTATCTGCAGAAGCAAAAGAAGTGAATAGCCCCTGCGGTAAACTGGGTGAAAAACACACCCTGATTTAGGTTTACAGCCTGAGAGCCATTGGAAGAGCGGCGTCTTTTCCTGCTCTGAAGGTGTTTGTCTATTCGAACTTTTAGTGCACAAATAGACGCTGAGCCGCTCCTTTCCCCCGTCGGCGTGTTTGAAGTCTGTTGGCCAAATAATGTGCAAGTACCAAGGAGGTGATAGCTCGCAATTGCAGTGCACATTATCGACAGCTTGTGTCTCTCCCCCCCCCCCCCCCCAGATTCTTTTTTAAAGGCAGTAACAGAAAAATAGAGAGAATCCCTGTGTTGGATCGCCTGTGGCCTTGTGGGGTGTTGGCCAAGCTCTGCGTTTATTTGATGGTAATAAATAAAACACGCAGAGTAATGTGCGAGAACTCAAGGTTGCTGCTTTGGAGACGTGAGCTGCAGTGTAAGGTTATAGGTTTAGGATGGTACGCAGGAAAAACAAACAGCGTGTGTGTGTGTGTGTAGTTCATGTTGAGTTTCAGCTGTGGCTTTATTTCTGTTTAATATAAAAAATCAGCATTTCTGTGTAAAATGTGTGAACCATGGTTATATCACTGTAGTTTCTTTAAGTTGCTTTTACGCGCTGTTGTGCAGAATCAATGTAACAATAGTAATTTTCAAATCTACAAATATGTTCTTATGTCAATATTTCGAACCGCTAATTTCTGATGTTTAACAATTTATTTTATTATTTTATTTGCAGCACATTACAATCTAAGTCTCCACTAAACACATGTATTTTGAACGCGTCGTTTCTCGCCAATCCTCGCACCATTTAATTTTAAAAGGAGGAAACCACAAACACCACATTACGCACATTTGTAGCTCTATTTGAGTGTAACGTTACACTGACGCTCTGGCCTCTCTCTGGCATTACAGTTAGTACGCTGATGGTGGTGATGATGGCAACATATAGGCCCATACAAGTGATAACGGCGGTGTAAATAATATACGGGTTAAACGGCAGGTTGTGCATGGAGCAACGAGCATCTGCCATCAGTATGCTGTCTGTAAAATATAAAAACAATTTAAAATCACCGTGCTTCCATTCAGTATCTGTTTAACACAAAAACAACACACGTGGCCTAATCCGCATTATATTCATGATTTAATTCATTTTACTATATATTTTAATTTATTTTAAATATCGACAATTTCCTACACGATTTAACATACACAGTTCAACCCTTTATACCCTGTAGTCGGGATTTTATCAGCAAGTAACTTTTATTTTTGTTCATCGTATAGGTCAATATTTTGCACCGTATTTGTAGCGACACTTTAGTAGACTGTTACTACCACTAAAGTTTAAGATTTAATGTTGTCCTTTTTTGTGAACCTGATTGAAAATTCGAAAAACGGATGAATAAAGTTTTGAATTATCCACAAAGTAACAACATGTATTTACTGTTTTCTTTTTAACTTAAATAAATGTAGCCTACGTCATGCTGTGATCACCGTTATTTATTTTCTATTATGTAGCGTATTAGTTGCAATATATTCAGATAGACCATGGACTTAGTCACAATCACGAAATGTGGATTAAAAAAATAGCAGGATCATTTTTAAATTCTTGTACTTTTAAAATTGTTTAAATTGACAAAAGTGCACCGATAGACACCCTGTGAAGCACACAGGTTGAACACACTAAGATCGTGCAACATATTCCCTATGAGGCTGAAGTAGTTACTCTCACTTTGTAACTTTTGCTTTTAAAATATATTTAAAGAATCACACACGGACGATAGAAAATGTCTGCCGCAGAGAAGGAACTGAAAATAGTGTAATTTGGTTGGATGCAATTTGTAATCCATGATTTCATTCAGCTCTGAGCCGCTAAGTTTCTTTATTACTTTGGTGTTTAAAATGTGTTTTGGTGAGCAGTAGTCGTAGGGTGCTTACGTGTCCTATAAAATACCTCGTAAAATAAGCTTTCCAAAAACATGCAGCATCGTTTGGGAGAACCAGAATGGGTTTTATCTGCAGCAGAAGAAGAGCTATAAGATCCTGTAAAGTATTTTTTTTTTAAATATTCATTAATTCATATTCAGTCTCACAGATAACAGATCTAACCCATAACTTGATCATTCTTAGCTTTAAAACTAGAGGTTGTTACTGGAGAGCGGGTGAGTATTTAATGACCAGCGGGATTGATTTATCCTTTATTGTTCAGCCTTTATGATCACGTGCGTCTTCTACCCAATGGCGCGGCAGCCTAGCTCCCCATTACTAGCCCACTGTAGTTCTCTGTGGGGCCAAGTTGCTACTTGATTTCTCCACATTGTTATTTTGTGAGGCTGGGTTTACTGCGTGTGTATGTGTGTGTGGTGTGTGTGTGTGCGCGTTTTACTTTTGCATGTATCTTGCTGTATGACTGCGTACATGTGAACGTATCATTTTTCTGCCATGTCGACATCCGGAACACTGACTAGTTACTACGTCGATTCCCTCATTCTGCCCGAGAGCGAGGAGCTCTCTGTGCCGAGATACCCCTCCGGTCCTGGGCTCCAGCACGCCAGACAGTCCGCCTCCTCTATTGGCGATCACAACGAGCTCGGGACCTGCACCTTCCCGTCCAAGCCCCCGGTATTCGGGCCGTCGTGGAGCCACGTTCCTGCTCAGTTCCCCGGCACCGTCTCTTCTGTGTATCACCACCACTATGGGCATCCACAGGGCCCGGTTGGTGCAGACACAGACGGTCGCTATCAGTCATGGCTACTGGAACCAATGTCCGGTTCTCTTCCCATGGCCGGATTACCCACAACTCATCACTACGGGATCAAACCGGAGGGTATTGGAGCGAGAGCTGACGGTGCGCTGCCCGGCTCCCACACGGCACTGCTGCTCTCTGATTACGCAAACGGCACGGTGGCCACGGCATCACCGGGGGAAAGGGACGCACTGTCCAGCCAGGCTGGGGACACAAGCGGGGAGACTGAGGAGAAACCGGGCCTCGATCCAAGTAAGTCACTGCACAGCCCTTTATGTTTATAGCTGACTATTTATACCGCATAAAGCTGTGAGGATTTGGGTGCGTGATGGGGGTGCGCGTCTGCACAACAGATGCCATTCTGAACGTGCCATTTCCTTATGGGGACTTTTAATGGCCCGGCTCCCATAGCAATATTAAATAACCCTTTACAGCTTTCAAAGTGAAACAGAGAAATGGGGGGAACGTGTTACTTGGATGGAGCTGCTTTTACGCACGTCCTTTCATTTTTTTTTTCTATTAATGGATTTATTTTTCCATTGAAGTAATATTTGTTGTTTGCATTTGGTCACTCGGTACCGGACAGCTCACACCAGTGTCGCCCCCCCTCCACTCTTTCCAGATAACCCAGTGTCCAACTGGCTCCACGCGAGTGCCACGAGAAAAAAGCGCTGTCCGTACACCAAGCACCAGATCCTGGAGCTGGAGAAAGAGTTCCTCTTTAACACCTACCTGACCAGGGACCGTAGGTACGAGGTGGCGAGGCAGCTAAACCTCACCGAGAGACAGGTTAAAATCTGGTTCCAGAACCGCAGGATGAAGATGAAGAAGTTTAATAAAGACGGCGCACCGAAAGACGAATAACTGAGCCGTAGTGAATCAGTATTTAGGCTGTTAGCGAGCTTTGTGTGTGGAAGCTCTTAACCCTGCTGGACCTTGTTTTTAAACTTCATTGTCTTATTGTTCTATATTACAGAAGCTATTGGGCTTATTTGTCTTGTAAAAAAGCATGTTGGGCTTCAATTTGATGCGACTACCTTTATATTGCACAATTTTAACAGTGCCCACTCGTTTTTAATTTTTCTTAAGCTGTTTTTTTTTTTTTTTTTTTTTTTTTAAATAATACCTCGTTAAAGTGACTTAGTTGGCCTGGTCCCTGTGCTTGTTTGTGTATGAATGTTACATTCTGTGTTCGTTCTGGTTGGTAGCTCTATTTGTTGTCTGTCTCAGAGTTATCTGAGCGTATAGTTTGTAATGTATTAATTTGAATGTTGTCTTCCCTCACTGGTAGAACTATGACTGATGACCATGAGTTTTAACCTAACATTGGAAACATGGAAAACCCCGACTGAGCGCATATTGAAGAAGGTGCTAAAACCTCAGAAACCTCTTTAAAATGTTCCAAATTAAAATGTGTAATAGAAGCTATATTACATGACTACCTATGTCTTTCAACTACCTACAATAACCTTTTTTTTTTTTTTGATGACGGATCCTTGTAGACTTGCTTGCATTAGATGCTGAACTATGACTTTCAGGGAGTAGCTAACATGTTAAAAGTACATAATGTTTGCTAGTGAGAGAAAATTAACTCTAAACACTGTAGGCTACTTATTGATACCTCACGGTCTGCTGACCGTCTGACTTTTGGTTCACAAATGTAATTTGTACTTTATTTATTAAATAAAACGAATTATATCTGCGAATGCATGCAAGTTGCATTCTCATTTCATTTTGGACTCGCATCTAAATGAATTATATAATTAATTAATTCACGATTTGTTGCTGTAAACACATTTTTACTGGTGCAAGATCCTTTTTATTGCGGCAGGAAAAATCTGAAGGTTACTGCTGTCAACCACACACACACGCACACACACACACAGGCACACACTCACTCACACACACACACACACACCCTTTTCTCTAAAAAGACATCTTGATAGGACTACGTGCTCTTTAAGCAAATACAAAAATTGAAAAGTTGCAAAGAGCACACACAACACACACACACACACACACACACACACACACACACACACACACACACACACACACACACACACACACACACACACACACACACACACACACACACACACACTATTTAAAAGAAACACCTATAGGTGAATATGTAGGCTATGTGTTTCTGGGTAGGGGACAGAGCTGTGTCTTGGCAGAGGATGTTGTTAGCTGTATACAGCCATAAAAGACAATTACCGCAATAACCTTTTATGGGGTGCAAAGCGCTGCGAGGTGATAGGACACAAAGCAAAAAAAGACATCGACGGCTTCGACGGCTGAAGCCCAAAATAATGCAGCCGATGTGTTTGTACTCAGCTCAGATATGACAAGGCCGATATGCCGAAAGCTCCAGCACTAGAGATCTGTTCATCATTTACAGAAAGTGAGACTCTGTGAATGAATATCTTAAGATAGGGAAGCTCGACATATGTTGGTTTTTTAAACGCAGCTTGACTGACATGATGTATCAACGAAGTTTTAAGACAAGAGGCCCAGTTTGAAACTATGTCTTCGAGTCTTTGCATGTTGGGGGAAATATTTGGCACATAGAAAATGAGATAATCAGCAAACCCAATTTGAACTTTCTTAACTGCAAAGCCAAAGTGTGAGAGTCGAGCGTGGTCATGCACGACTCTGTCACATACACCAGCTCATTTACTTGTCATTAAAAGGCTGCACTGAAACTAGTTGATAATTGTAGTTAGAAGGTAACTTTGGTCCAGCTGGAGTGCTGTTTTGACGCGTAAGGAGCCGCAGATGGACCCAAACTTCAAAGACTCGACCAGAGACAGTGCAATAAAACGCCTGGTCTGCTATACTGTCTGGCATTCCAGTTTTAATGGCTTTATGGCCGTCCAGACACAATTAGGCTGTTTCCAGAATGGCACCCATTTGTTTTTTCTTCCTTTTCTGAGACACTGCGCCCTGGACAAAAGGCCGAGCGGAAATGATCAGCTTTATTGGATTCTACCCGACGGGGACGCGCAGGACTCACGGTCATTTGGAGCGATCCTTTGTCTCTACCTGGGAACCTTCCGCCCTCTGCTCCTCTGTTAGACCCGACCTAAAGGAGAAGGAGCAATAAAGCCAGCGGCGGGTTTCAAACCAATGGGATTGCCTGAGTACTGATGCTTATTGAATACATCCGGAGAAATCTGCTTAAAGACATTGGCGCTTTCCTGAAAATCATAACCTTATAAAGATAGAGGCCCCGTTTGAGAGTCATTTTTCCTTTTCGTATCTTGCATTTTTAACCGGTATTGCAGCGGAGACCCTATGCGCGTGCGCAGTGTTGTTCCCTGGCCTGCAATCCCTTAATGTCACCAGAGGGTGGCGACACTGTTCCACAGCATCCCCTTAACGCTTTGAACACTTCTCCCTAATGAACCTGCTCTGGAAACAAACTGTAGTAACATTTTTAAGAGTCCAGCTAAATAATTTCACACCTTTTTACAGTCTCAGAGCAGAAGCTGTTTCTGCAACCTGCGGAAATAATGAAACAGGCAGCACGCGGTGCCTGCTGGATGCTCGGATGTGTCAGTATGGCTTCACAGACGCTGTGCATTTTGAGCCAAGAGCAGTGTTTGGATTACAACTAACCTTTAAAACTAAGCGTATTTTTCTACATTGACTTTACAAATATCCTGTATGTAGATTAAGATATCTTCACCCAGATTTCTGTTTGCATTGAACGGTTTTAAACAAGTTAAACACAGCAACACATAAAACACATTCGTTTCTTATGCGCATTAAAACGGGTCATGAAAAAACCCTTTTTCTAATTCAAACAAGAGTTTAAAATAGTTGTTGTTTTTATTTAATTTTAATTATTGCTATTATTTTGACTTGTTTTTGTCTGTTGGTAGTAGAAGTTCAAATAGGAATTATGAGAAGGCCTATTATACGTTTATTTAGTCTGTTCATCGTAATATTATTTTTTTTAAATCGTAGAATACTTCTATTTCCTGCTCTTTGAATTCCAGTTGCCCTTAGCATAATTAAAAAATATATTTTTATTAGAATTATAAAATATTTAATTTATTGAAGATAACATTGTTATGCCATAAACACACTTTTCAGGAGGACACAAAGACTTAATAGTAGTAGTAATAATAATAATAATAATAATAATAATAATAATAATAGTCATAATAATAACAGCAATAACAAATAGTAATAATTTTAAGTGTTCTAGAATACAAACACTGTTTATTATGTTAAGTAGGCTAATGATATAATACATATTTAACATCATGAACGGCCTATACGTCTACAACAAATGCTAACAATGAAAACAATTGATTTAAATTACTATAATTATGGAAAGGCTTATAACATGTATTGTTGTACTATATCACTATTAAAAAATATATATCAATATTCTATATTAATGCCAAAAAACACACTCTATACACATACACTCTTAAACCATCTATGTGGGGAAGATGTTATTCAAATCAATGACGTTCAAAGCTCAGAAATAGTTCCTTGTATTAATCATCGGTGGGGTTATTTAAGACTACACATAACGTATAATCAAACTGTTTTTAAGATACAAATTAATGAACTATGGAGTTAAGAAAAAACTATTATTTGGAAAAAGAGATTACTTACAAGATCTGATAATAGCCATCAAACCCGTTATGTTCTTTGTATATTTTTTTGAGTACTGAGAGAGAATCCGTATCGAGTATTTTCAAAGCATTCTATGGAGTCACATGAAATTAAATAAAGGTAAACAGATGATTATTTGTAAATAAGAAGTCAAATAAATCATGTAAAACAAGTACATTCAATGGCTTAAATTACGTTTGGAACACAGAGATTGTGTGAATTTCTCTCGTGTGTGTTTATGTGTGTGTGTACGTGTTTGTGAGTGAAGTGTTAATCCCACTCTGCAGTCCTGCGCCATAATGAAACCCTTATCTGCCCGCTGATTGGACGGGAGCGTCCAGGCCGGAGTCACGTGGGTGAGTTCTTTGGTCCAGAGTAAAAATGGGCTTTGGTGTAAATCTAGGGTGTATTGCTGTCATATATCACACTACCTCGTAAAAACGACACTGAGGATTCTGGGCCAACAAATCAGAGAGAAAAAAATATGAGTTCTTATTATGTGGACGGTCTTCTTAGCAAATATACGGCTGCTGGTTCTTTCTTCCCAAACGTGGAGCGGGCGTCCTGCAGCATTGGACCCGCTGGAGAGGACTCGGCTCGGAGTGCTGCCGCCATCGCGTTCGCTCCATCTCTGTCTGGAGTTTACAGCGTCAGCAATGCGGTGTACCAGACCCGGCCTGCTTTTACCTCGGACTATGTCCAGGGGCAGGACCCACACATACCACATAGTCTGCACTACAGCTTGTTTGACCAGAACCGAAGCCTGTTCACCGACAGCTGCTGCCATCCGGAGCCTGGACACCTCGCTGTGCCGCCGGACAAACAATACCGGATGTACCCCTGGATGACAGCATCAGGTATGTTCTGATTCTGTCTCTTATAGCTGTTTCAAAGCCCTCAGGTCAATGCTTCCAGAAAACATTGGGATACTTACATTGGCCGTTACTGGTTCAATTAATTTCGTGAAGCCATTGGTGTTGCATGGAAAGAATCGTAAAAGTTTTATTGCGCAACTAATGAGTTCTGCAGCCATAAATTCATTTGGCCAGCGCTCCTGTGTGTTGAGTGTGCAGAGACCTTGCCGCTGGGGGGTTTCGCTGCACTCCTATTACTCTTATAGCCTCTTCTCCCCTTTGTGGTTGTAAAAAAGAGCAGCCTGTTGTGTAAATCAGCTCTCTCGCACTCTGCAGCTCCTTTCTAATTGGGTCTGCACTGCAGAGGCTCTGCTATTTTCTTAGCCTGGTTCGTACAGACATTACTTGATCAATATGGCCCAGTATTGTCGATTGCATAAAGAAGTCAAGTGGATTTAGAATGCAAGTAATTTGAAACATTAGGTTTTGTTATGCTTGTGAAGGAGAAGGGTGTTGGGAGTTATAATCTAATTACTTATGTGGCCCTTTTAGTATGCAGAGGATTGTTGGCTTTTAATTGGGAAGGCATGCAGAGTATCAAAGGAGGCAAAGGCCAAACATCACAGCAAGAACACTTTAAATAGATGTAGGGACCGACCCCAAAAAAAGGCTGTCTTTGAGTATTAGTAGTATGCTCAGTGAGGGTGTTTTTAGAGAAAATGTAAAAAACAATTGAGTCCCAATTAATTGCGCAAAAATAAAAAAAAGAATGCCCAAGATGATTCCACATACAGAATTTTATTGAAGCGATAGTGTTAGCAACATTTTATTTTCTGCAGAATTATATTTCATAGATTGTTAGAAAATATTATCTGAAAGATACAATAATAGGTCATCTTCTGCACCACAGATCCAAACAAAAAGAGGGGCCGGCAGACCTACTCCCGGTACCAGACCCTGGAGCTGGAGAAGGAGTTTCACTTCAGCCGGTACCTGGCCCGCAGGAGGAGGATCGAGATCGCCCACGCCCTCTGCCTCTCTGAGAGACAGGTCAAAATCTGGTTTCAGAACCGCAGGATGAAGTGGAAGAAAGACCACAAGGAGGATCCGGTGTCGACTGCTGACGGCGAAAAGGAGGGTGAAACCCGGGCTGCGTCAGAGTCCACTCAGCCCGGAGCAGGAGACACCCGGAGCGCCGGCTCGGAGCCAGAAACGGCTGCAAAGTGACAAAAGAGACAGAAGGGGTATTAAAAAAACATCATATAAAAACACGGCAGTTAAATGCTTAGAGATATTTCTCACATAACATACATGCACTACGAGCTTTGTATGCTCATGAAATAAGCATTTAACAACACAACATATCTAATGTTTCATATTTTAACATACATTCAGTTCAATGATCCCTGCGATAGAGCCATGTTATTTAAACATTATTTTTTTATAAGCAATAGGACATATTATCTTACGTCATTGTATCACTGAAGCAACATTCCTTAACGAAAAACTACCTACTATTGACCTGCTAACATACAAGCAAAGACACAAGCTGAACATGATTGTAAATAACTATGCTACCTATTCGAATATCTCTCTCAAGGTGATTATTTTCTAAATTGAACAAATACACATTCTGCGCAAAGGTGCCTTACTGTGAATCAAGGCTTAATATAAATGCATCATTCGTCTATAAAGTGCATCCAGCTGTTTTTATATCACTTCTAATCGCTCAGACGCAACTGTTTTTACTTATTTACTCTTCATCCAGGATTGACTAAACTATTTGTTGAGTTCTGGATGAACTCTTGTAACCTACCTCAGATTCTCATTGCTTATTACACTGTAAACAGGAATATCCTAACGTAAATATTTTGAAGCCTTCGCCTTGCAGCGTAAAGATGTTCTTGCCTATTTTATTTAAGGCTTTACATATTACAGCGGATTGTCGATACCAACAAGCAAGCACCCTTTATTACCCTTTAGCCCTTATAAATACATAATTGCAAAACGCTTTTTTCCCCCCTTGATCATTGCTATTATCATTATTATTATTATAAATGAGTAGGTTGCAATCCAACATGTGCAAACACTGTGATATATTTAGGTTCAGTGCCCACGCTTCAATGTGAATTATGTAAACAAGTCAATGAAATAAACAATTCTCATGTCTTCAATCTGTGAATGAAAATATAAACTTTGATTTAATAGCTCTGATCTGTCTTTTTTGTCTGCTCGATATTTGCCAACTTAACATTGGGTGGCCAAAACATTCATTCATTAACCTCAACAATTACCCACCGGTTTAGTGACAATAAGTCGCGGTTCACTGCGGTCAATATTAGGTTGCATGACATGAAACGTTTTAGTCCATTCTGCGGGTTGGGTAAACACTGCAGCTGGGGAATGTGAACTATGAGGATGCGAGATGGGGCAGGCTGCAGATGAAGGGAAATTACTGTTGAACTCTGCGTTGCCTCTTCCCTGTGTAAGATGGCGCCTGACGGTGACCTGCCCCCTTTCCTCCCCCCCACCCCTTTCTCCCCATCTCCCCCTCCAGCGCTGGGTCATAAATCCGTTGTTGTTTATGAAAATTTACAACATAGCAATGCAACTTTACGACCCTACTCGTCTTCCTATTGGCTGCAGTTTGTCACGTGGTAGGGAGCCGTGAACATGAACTTTTTTTTTTATATATATAATTTCCAATAGCGGAATAGAGCAGCCTTTCATTTAACGGTCTCGAGCGTCCGCACGGCTGTTTTCACCAGCGACTCTCTGCATTTTTAAACATCCTGTCCTCTTTTGCGGAGTTTTCTCTCGTCGAGGCAGAGGTTTCTAGGCGCAGGAGCTTGCCTTTGGACATGTCTGGATCCTTTGGGTGTCCTACTGTCGCTCGCCTGACACGTTTTGGCAGGATGAGTGGATGGAGCCCCGGTACGTCACTGACCCCCTCGGGAGCCTCAGCTTCCGTCCGGGGACGCAGCTGGATACTTCCCACCGTCACTGGTCGTTTACACCTGCCAACTCCCTCCTCTCAGCTCCATGACACCTCAAAAAGTAAGTCAAATGTGTGTTTTTTGTTTGTCAATTTGTAAAGACATAACCGAATAATAGCAGTTCTCTAATTTAAATATGACGCCTCATTTGCTTTCCTTAGTTTGATTTACATGGTTTCAGGTTAGTTTATTTGATTAGGATTTGAATGTCAGATGCTGCGTGATTTATTCAGTGTAAATCAGATAACAAAGAAACTAGTGCCTTTGCCTTGAACTTCCTTGAACTTCCTGCTGGCTTCTGCATTCTGTCAAGAGTATGTTTGTTGTGGCATTTAAATGTGGACGGGCTTTCATCCATAGTGCATTTGGGTGGATTGTACTCATGAGACGTGCTCTTTGACGCCCTCCTGTGGAGGCTCAGGGTTTGTGGTGGTTGCAGCTCTGCTTGTTATGCTGCAAAAGGAACATGTCGACCTCTATTTTTTGCCTGTGTGTCCTCTTCGATGCTGTAAAATGGTGTGCTTCATATTACGTGCGCGTACAAGCCCATATTCAAATATTGATAGGTGGTATAATGGTCAAATTGTACAAAACATGATTGTTTCGAAGTTTGGACGACCTTAATTGTATGCACATTGAATTCTCTGAGCGAAATATTTAAATGTTAGTATGTATTTGTTTGAAAACATTTACTAAATTCAGTGCTGCTATATGGTGTTCCAAATATTATCTTCCTACTGATTTTATTTTTCATGCAGAAAATTGAGTCGGGCAATCAACTAATGTTTGACCATCAAAAATGTGAGAGAAATAAATGCATAGTCCATGCATGTGTATATGCGATGATGTGCCCTTTTCTATGATTACCATTAAAACACATTTATGCTGTTTTAACTTGAATGGGCCGTGGTGACAACCATTCCTGTGTGCTAGGGATTTGGCTGTTGTGCACTTTGTCTGATTCAAATTAGTGTTTCATTGACGTAGGGTTGAAAAGTGTGTCATGATAATTTGTTGTGACTACTGTGCGATTAAGTCGAACTGCGGTCGTGCGTAATGATACTTAAACATCATTACGCACAATATTTTACTCGCGAGTGCTGGTGTGTGTTAGTGCCTGCAGAGAGCAGTGCCCTCTTGTTTTTCAGCAGCAGTGGACCCCCTCGCTCCCAGTCCCATATGTTTGACACTAACTCTTCCTCTTTCTTTTGGTGCTCATTTGGTTCCTGGGTGTGTCCCTGGCTCGATTCCGGGAAATACTTTTCGTGGGAACTTTGTTGCCATTGGTCAGCCATAAATCAGCTGTTGGGGCATGACTGTTTAAACAGCACACACTGAGTAGTTCTCTCATTAAGGGCCTACTGGATGTGGGATCCCGGTGCTTCGGCTACCGCGCGTTTTGCGTGTGTTTTTACCGATACAAGCGCATATACGTGGATCAGAATAAACAATATCGCAGTGTTTTGTCCGGAAGCACGTGATTATGCTTGTACTCGTTGCAGGGGCTGCTTTTGGAGACAAGTCGCAGAGACGAAGGTGCCATAAAAATTCCAGAAGGAGAAAAGCAAACGGAGAGTGCGAGGCTCAATTTAGGCGTCGTGTCAGTGTCAGAATCAGCGGAGTTTCCTGTTGTGTATGCATGCTTTGAATTAACAGGACAAAAGTGCATTTGCACGTTTCCATTAACGGTCAGGTCAGGTTACAAAAAGTGTCACTTCTCTAAAATTAGTTAATAACTAAGACTAAACGATTTAAGTCAAAATACGAATTATCAAATTGTAATTGATCAATTACAGAAATGTTTGAAACTGTTAACTTTCGTACAGAAGAGACTCATTTTATTCAGTGGAAGAGAGCCTAGTGTTAAATACAAACAGCCTACAGCATAATATGAATTTTTATCTGATCTTTATTTTTATCAAATGTTGCAAATATATTGCCAACAATTTAGAGTTTCTCAAAATTGTCTTTTCATAAATAGGCCGAGGCTTAATTTGATTCTATTATTAATTTTCAGTCTTTGTTTCCTGTTGATAGATAAGGACATTATGCTCTTGATATCAAACAAAAACTCAAAATACACAAGAAAACACGCGAAAAAAAAAATCTACGTTTTGGACTTAACAATGAACGACAATTTGCCACCATACAAATGCGCCTGGTTTAAATCTTCTTAAATCAACAGAGGTAATTGTAAAAAAAAGCCCCCAAAATGTGTTACGTGGAATCACATGAGTTCATTTCGAGCTTATATTCTTAGACTTTCGTTTTTCAAAGTGCCATAAAATAAAGGCCTGGGTTGCAGTCTCTGCAATATTTTTCGAGAATGTGGTGTTATGCTGTTATCTTTGTTCAAACTTTTATAAATTAGTTTTGCATGAAATGAGTGGTTTTTTTCAAACTTTTTTTTAAGATTATAAGAAAAACATCTAAAAAAATAAGGAAAGAAAGAAAAACACGCAGCTCTGCTCTGGATGGGCCTTTATTCTATTAACTGCACAGACTATTTGCACCCACTCGCCTATCATAACATATAAAGATCCTAATGGAATTATTTCTGTACACTCTCCTCGCAAAGATTGCGCTCTCAGCGTGTCACTTGTTGTATTGTTTAGGAGCTCGTTGCTTTTTGCCGCAATAGTCGTTAACCTCTGAATGACCCCGCGCGGAGCCCACGCCTGACAAACCTCCGCAGACACGCAGTGCAACTATTACGCCAGAGGATGGCGCACCACGACAATCCAAAACACAGGAGCCCTGCCTCTGAGTTTGCCCTAGCCACGAGCGCTCGGAGGCGCGCGCCCTTCACATCCCACCCAGTATTTCCTGTGTGCACGAGTTTACCTCTCGAGGTCACCAAGGAGGATTTACGACTGGTCAACAAAAGCACGTGATACCTCGCCGTACCCCATATTTGGGTGCCTACGTAAGAGAGAATCAAGTCCATGTCCCACTCATTTCCATAATTCATCATAAATTGTGCAAGGGTGCTATAGGACGCGCTAAAGCATAAGAGCCACAAATCAAGCACACAGGTTTATGCTGTTTTAACCTACAAAAACAACAAAACAACAACAAAACCTGCAACGAGCAAACTGCGGAATTGTCAACAAATGAGCTCCTATTTTGTGAACTCATTCTGCGGACGCTATCCCAATGGCGCGGACTTCCAGTTACATAATTATGGAGACCATAGTTCGGCAAACGAGCAATACAGAGACTCAACAGCCATGCATTCCAGCAGGTACGGCTATGGCTACAACGGGATGGACCTGACAGTCGACCGGGCCGGTACAGGACACTTTGTGGGCAACGAGCGGACGCAGGGCTACTCCCCGAGTCACTCAGCGGCGGCGACACCCTCAGTGGAGCAGGTCAGGTACAGCCAGTCCGCAAACAGCACCGGGACCGCGTCTCTATCGCCTCCACCTGACCCGCTGCCATGCTCATCGGTCGCCAGCTCGTCCCCGGCCACCGAGACTCAACCTCAACACCGAGCCGTGAAAAACTCTATCCCGACCTCGTGCTCAACCCCGTGCTCGAGCTCCAACGGAGGCACGCTGCTGCTCAACCGGGACTGTTTGTCCAAAGCTTCGCCCCTCGAGGAGGAGAAGCCTGCGGGGAGCGCACAGACAACTCCTCAAAATACCACCGACTCAACACAGCCTCAGATCTATCCGTGGATGAGAAAACTGCACATAAATCACGGTAAACTTCTCTTTTGAATTGACTTGAATGATTTTAGGGACGTGGCGCTCTATATGTTCCTTGTAAGGTTAAGGTGAACATGCTTTTTATCTTACTAGAGTAGTTTATAAACTTTGTAATTAAGGGATCATTATTTGCTATACATAATAAAAATAGAAAGTGGGTAAACGTTCCATGATGTGCCTCTCACCTGTTTGGTGTGTTATAGCTTTTTTTGCACTGTCAACATAGAGCAGGTACGCTTTAATATAATAATATAATAATACAACATACAAGTATAAATTAAGTGGGAAAATGAATTAATGTTAAATTAGATAGCCTACATTATTTTTTATTGTCTTATTTTAATGTACTGCTTCTGGTAAAACATGTCCGATTCTTAATGAATATTTTTACGCAAAGTCTAACTGCTAAGGTGTGTCTCACTTTAATAACTGATGTTAATAATGTTTTGTGAGCCACTAAGACGACTTACAAATCTGAGCTTGTGTTAACTTTCAGCTAGTCCTAACTAAAAACCAATAACATTACATTCAGAACGCGAGGGATTTGGCTCAAAAGTATTTGTTAGAGCTAACTAGTATAAAAAATGTTTTTGCATCTACTGATGTTTCTTTTTTTTTTTTTTCCCGTCGAAGATTTAGCTGGACCAGAGGGCAAAAGAGCCAGGACTGCATACACCCGGTACCAGACCCTGGAGCTGGAGAAGGAGTTCCACTTCAACCGGTACCTGACCCGCAGGCGGAGGATCGAGATCGCTCACGCCCTCTGCCTCTCAGAGAGACAGATCAAAATCTGGTTTCAGAACCGCAGGATGAAGTGGAAGAAAGACAACAAGCTGAAGAGCATGAACATGGCGGCTGCAGGCGGGGGAGTCTACAGGCCCTGATATCCCCCCCTTTACACCTGATAACCAGCACTATGAAAATAAAACAAAGATTGTCTTATGAACTTCTCCTTTTCCTTCCCCTTGAAAAGGCGCAGAGACTTATAAACGGGGACGTGTGCTGGACAGGGGACATCCTCACTCACACCCCGCTGTGTGTCCAACAACTGTCCCATTATATATTCCTTGATATTATTTCCTTTTTACCCCCTCCGTGGTTATGCGTATGTGATTACAAAAAGATGCATTCTGTACAGTTCTGTCTAGATTTAGAGGAAAAAGACACATAAGTGTTTGTTTAAATTATTTGTTGTTCTGACGGACAAAAAAAAACATAAAAATAAAGCTTGAAATGCTACAAACTAACAGCAAATAAATCCAGTAAAAGTTGTATGATGCACTCAGAAGGGAAAATACCCTAATAAAATGAGGGTTAAGGTTGGGCTTCCTTTGTTTTTAGCCTTCGTTTTCTCTGAATGTACTGTATATGTATGTATTTATTTGTTTGATGTATTGTACCAGCTTGTCAGAAAACTTGCTTCCAAAAAAGTAGAGCCAGCGGTCAGCCGTGTGTGGTTATTGTGTACGTCGTGGACAATTGTATGGACAGAGGTTCCGAATCTGTCTTGTATGTACAGTAGCCGTTGCCTTGTGTCTTCTTTTAGCTCTTTTTTTTCTGCAGGAGCTGTTGTTTGTGTTATCCACCTGAACGCAACATTTGCGTAAAAATGTGTTTTGTCTTTGTTTGATCGTGGAGGGCTCCACAGTAAACGTTGTCGCCTATATGTGTATAGCTCCATCGTGTTTAGCTTTTTGTAAATGTTTTTCAAAGACTGGAAGTCAAGAATATACTATAACAATACAAACGATGATTATTGCCAATATAATAAACTTTCTATTGGAAATCAAACTTTTCAGTGAGTTTTTTCCCCTAAAATAATTTGCATGTCATTAACGTGTTTGAAGCGCTTCGATGTGGAAAGGAAGTCAGATTGCAGTTTTTTCTAAGTATCATTTTAACGTATGAGATGTAAGAAATTGCCGTAGTTTTACCGAGTTCAATCCTGAAATCAACAGGTCCCCTTGAATGAAAGCTTCATCTCTTACTCACCTTGCTGTGGAGCTTGGGGGGCTTTATTTGGGGGTCCTTGGTCACTAACCGGCTTCAGGGGCCACGCGTCCCCCTGTTGCGCACAGACTCCTGGGCTTTTCCCGGAGAATCAGCACTACTTTTCGAGCTGTAAACTTTATTAGGCTTGACTCTGACTCTCTGACATTTGGGTGCTAAATGAATGGGGGTTTTTGTCTATGAATTAGATCGTAAAAATCATCCGGAGCGCGGCCAGATAGGCTCACTGGCCATAAACGGTCACGTGGTGGCCATTAAAGTAAGTTTTATGGTTTTGGGGAGTTGACAGTATATTGCACATAACATATAATCGTACTGACGGCGAGGCTTCGTCTGACTCTCTCTTTGCAGGCTGTTAGTGTTACTTGACCGGTACAGAGCGTCTATTTGACTCAGTATGGACCGGACGCTCTACAGGACGAGGAGCGCCTCTCTGGGTAAGTTTCTGCAGACTATCCGGTAGCGCGAGAACAGCCAGCTTGTGTCAAACAGCCGTATTATTGTATTCGCTCCCTCTATCCGTCCCTATTAGACCATTACACTAATTTGTCAGTTGTGCAGTGCTGAATGCTGGTCTCGGCAGATGTTGCGCAGGGTTGGGTCCGGCTCATGGCTATTTAATTGCTTCCTTCCCCGTGTAACTTGTTTCCCTCCATCTGTGGTGTAACTCATAATCCATTTTTACATGTTGGATAATTATCTCTGTGTCCATTTCCACCCCCTCAAACTTCTAGTTGTTGTCGTTTATTGCATTGGAGGATTCACAGAGCCAGAAAGTTTCCACGGGGTGTGTGGAGTGTGGAGCTTCCCCTGATGAAGTTACGCGCTAATGCAGTCCTATACATTTGCAGCGATTGGATTCGGTGTGTGTGTGTGTGTGTTCATGACTTCTGGAAGTTGTTGCTCCATCATTGGAAAAAGTTGCAGTTGTCGTTTGGCTGCGCGTTGCACACGTTGGCACCGTGTTTGGCTCCAGGCTGTAAACAGTGTCAAGTAAACACAACATGGAAACAAACAGCAGCAGGGAGACGTTTGAAAAGGAATTCCGTTTTGTGTCTGCCACGTCGTTTTGTGTTTGGGGTTGAAAAGTTCAGATGACCTCTTTAAAAGTCACTCTCGCTTTGAGCTGACCTCTTGTCCGTTCTGTGACCGGCTGGTGGATCCCCCCCCCCCCCCAACAAAACATGGACTGTAATCTGGAAAAAAAAATATATAACTTCTCACCATTTTTTGGACGAGTTGGCCTTTTTCTTTTCATCGCTTTGGGATTAGTTTTTCAATTTATCCCAGTCTGTTTCTTGATGCGCTCGTTTCTAATTTGACATTTCCAGTCAAAACATGAAAACATCTGAAAAATGTAGAGGACATTTGAGTCTAATGAGTCATTTCGCATCGTAGTTTAAATTTGGCAGGTGTTCTTTATTTTTGAATTTCCGAGGTTTTTTTTAACGCACAGGCCTACACCTCAGCATCTTGAGCCTTTGTGGAGTATTTCAGAAGCTTTGAAAAGACACATTTAAAAAGAACGTGTTTAATTCTGTCCGCTTGAATCAAAAATCTGGACAGATAAAGCGGATTTTTTAAACCACATAATCTTTATTTCTTCTTTGATCAAACAGAAATCAGACATAAACAAAATTCTATAAATACCATGTTGCCTTTACCTAAGGTTTCATAGTTTAACACAAGTAGTTCATTGGTAAAGAAGTTACGAGTTAACCAAAATACGGAATATAGGCACAGACTCTGTAGTTTGATTTCAGGTGCACTGAAAATAAAAAAAGGACAAATGGGATTTCAGCAATTTGGAAATTAAAAGCCTATCCAATATTTCAAGGTAAGATATTTCGACAGGGCCCCATGTGCGGCAGACTGCCAGGCAGAGGGAGAGAGGAGCTGTAGGTTCATCTGGAGGTCAGCCACAGCACCAAGATAAATCTGCATCCTCTCTGAGCCACCAGCAGAGCTCGCTTTAGGCCAAGTTCACTGTCAGCCTCTTGTATGGAGAGAGAGGGGGAACCATTCACACACTCCTTGCACCGTGCACATACACGCGCGCACACATGCGTTTTCACGTTAATGACACGTTTACTATGCGTTGCCTATAAGCACAATGCGTAAAAATGAATTTAGCGATGGGACACAAAAAGCCTTTGGCTGCATCGTGTACCGGAGGAGAAACTATGTGAGGAGAGAGGGGGAGACTAACTTTAAACTATTGCCTCCAACAAAGACTTTTGGCTGCTTTGGTGTCCCTATAACGCTAATGAATGATTTGCATATTTTACAGCTCTATTAGTCTTGAGAAGGAGCCGATTGGATTTATCTTTTCACTCCCTTGTTGGAAGCATCATAAAGCTACACTCGCATTCAGGTCTTATCCTGGCATCTTCTCTAATTATGAAATTTGGGGAAATTATCATACTGATAGCAAGAGAGAAACACATTGTTCAAATCAATTTTTCGTTTCAAGAGGGCTTGATGCCTCGCCGGGCTGGGACAGATGAGGGGGAGATAGCTGCAGAAGAGGAGGAAAAATTGGGGTCAAAAGTTTATGCACTGAACAAGTCTCCGTCATCTGTTCTCCCAGAGCTTGATGCCAGCCTTATAATAGCGATCTTGACTCTCCACACAAAAGACAGAATAGCTTTGAATTACATATGTTGCACGGTGCACTCCAGGTGAACCCTGGAAGCGCGGTGACCTCGCGTTTGGGATCGGGGGAGGGGACCCCCGCCCGTCCCCGGCAACAAGATTGAGTGGCTGGCGTTTTATTAGGGCGGTTGATTGGTGAATTTCCTTTGAATAAATTGCATTTGATATGTTTAGGGACGAGGGCAAAATTTGCATTTTGAGGATTGATACTTTCGACCCGGTCACAGGGTAATGGGAAGGCCCACAGCCCCCCAAATCGAGCCCCCGGATCCCTTAAAAAACATTTAGCCCCTCTCTTCCTGCTCTGTTGAATAGAAGCTTTTCAAGAAAGCAGAAATGACACAGATGTTTTTGTGACTCATAAAGAGAAAGTTTTAAGAAAAACGTTATTATGTGCTAATATAAGCTTATATATATTTGTGTTATTACTTTTCAGTGGCTTTGTGAAATGAATACTGTGCCTTTTTCTTTAATCTGACTGAAATATCAAACATTTTGTGCAAAATGTAAAGGAAAAATATGAAAAATCTCAATTTAATAAAAAAAAAAAATAGCTGATAATTATTCAAGAAAGACACTTAAAGCAAACTATGTTTTATGTAATGCTAAAACGTAGAAACTGTTTTCTCGCCAGTAACGCGTGACTTCTCTTTCATCGGCATCTCTACAGACACGAATGTAAAGGCTACTTCTCAGGACAAAAACAAAACATTTTTAATAACAGTAAATAAAACTTTACACTTCGTGAAAAACGCCAAACAAAAAAGAAAATAGTAGAACTTCCACTTTCAGCAACTTTTTATTGTCATATAAGAGAAACAAACAGAAAACACTTTAGTGTTTGAACAGATTATATCAATACTTGTATTTATAAATGAAATTGTTAAAAACACAATGCCCAACACCATACATTTTTCTGTGTTTCGTAAACCTTGTAAGTGTTCAAATATCCAAACAATATTTAGAGAAATTCAGAGAATCCACGCCCGATGTTTGATATTCACAATCTTTTTAGAATACTGGATTTAAAAGTTAGAGCCACCTCGTTCATCCAAAGACACCAGCGTTGTTATGATATCACAACCTACGGGGTCAGTTATTGATAGGCTACTATTTTTATGCAGAACGCATTATTTTATGTGTTTTTAAATCTTGTCAATTAACCCTTAAAACCTTCAAATATCCCTTCAAACTATAATTTTCCAAATAAATATATTTTAGCCTGCAGCCATTTGGAAACAATAGTTTGGTTTTCTTTTAGACTGAATGGTTGAGCTCGTTGGATTGAACAATTCAGAGAAATAAGGCGGTTGTCTATTCTTATGTAGCTGCTTTTGTTCGCTTCTTAAAACTCTATTGAATGCTTGAAGGTCAGCTTTTTGCCTAATCAGAGATTGCTGCTGTATATTTTAAATATTGACCATTATTGGGAAACCTATTCTATTTCGTGATATTTTAAAATGATGATTCACACATGAAACTATGAGAAAAGGAAAAACATTTTATTTTGGATTCCCCCCTAATCAAAATATTTCCATAAAGCTATGTGAAAAATGTTTCTTAGCCTGAATCTCCGTCACATCTTGAATGCAGAGAGGATTTTTATCCGGCTGTCATGACTCCGGATAGACAGGAGACCTTGTGAGAAGCATCTGCAATCTGTCACCAGCGTCACATCACTTCTCTGATAATCTAAATGTACAGTAAACTGTCAGCGTGATGTATAAACTGAAATAGGCTTTCACTTCACAGTATACACTCTGAAAGGGAGCATCGAGTATATGGCGTTTTGGATTTTTCAGTCCAAGGTTAACATTACAAGGCAGTGACTGTTTGTTATTCACATTAAGTGCAAAGAATGTCTCTATATTTTGTGGAAAATTCTCCAAGTTTGTGAAAGGTAATTTAAAAATAGCTTCCACGTGCGTCATTTTAGTCGAATAGTCAAATAGCTGATCCTTATCCTGTTATATTTAGTGCGTGAAGAGATCTCATGAGGCTTCACTGCATTTAAACGCACCTTGCAGGCCTGTAGGAAATAGCAGAAGCATTACCAGGACTGTTATCTTACATGCTCTTGTTGCAGCACTAGATCGGTTACTTGATGATAATTCTAGTAAAAGTGTTCACAGTTGGGAAATAAAAAAGAAAAAGTAGTCGATTGCAACAGGTACCTATAAAACAGAGAGGCCATATTCACGCGAGGATAAGTCAGAGTGTAAGTGGATAATAGCCGAGCTGGTGTTGCCCATATTTACACTGGACATATATAATAGAATGGCAGCAGACTGTAAATTTAGATATCATGTGAAGTCGTCTTACCGCTGACATTATGTTGACATATTGCCTCTCAGGTGGTCTCTGGGCCATGTGGATGAACGGTGGATATATGGCGGAAAGAAGCACCAGCTGCCATTTACAATGAGTTAGGTGAGAAGAAGGCTGTAAGATACACAAGATAGCATCAGTTCTGCCTTACAGCAACAGTGTGAGGACATAAGAAAAAAGATGGAGGAGCCAAAAGTGAGGCCTGCTAGAGGAAAAGAAGGAATCACCTGTTTAAATTGTCTGAATCAACATAATCCATAATCCAGAGTTTCATGGATGGAAATTCAAACTCTAACGAAAAAAATGAAATAATTGAAATCTTATTTGCAGCAGATTTGTATAGTTGCATAGATTCCCTGCTCTATACTAGCCAAGAGTTCCACGTGTGATTTTTGAGAAAGTTGGTCCTCTTTTGCACAACCCCCAACCCCCCCAACGCACTTCATCAGCTCCCTCGGAGTTGAACAGCTCCTGGACAACCGAAGTCCAAGTCCGGGGTGAACCCCAGGTCACTGCGTCTAACAGATATGAAAATGTCGCCTCTTTGGAAAAAGGGGGCACGCCTTGTTGTTTAACAAAGACTGTCAATGGGCAAGATTAATCAGAAACAAAATGGAAACGGTGTCACTTTGGGGTCAGGCAGAAGTTATCTCTGTTTAGAGGAGCCAGAGAATAGAATAGAGGGGAGGGGGTGCCGAGAGGGGGAAAAGGACAGAAGAGGAGTGAAAAAGAAAGCTTTCAATATTTCCGAAGTTTGGCCTCTTGTTTCACCATGCAGGGGCCTCGTTGACGTGGACAGTGTGGACGGGCTTTGTGAAGAGAAGCTGCATATACAGTGAGCCGCCTCGGACATGGAGAGAAAACACGAGCTGGACGTGATGGCTGACGGCGAGGAGCACGGTCAGACACTTTTACAATTTCCTCATAGATATAAAAATTCAAATGTAGCTGGAAACCAAAGTGCCCAAAATGTAATTTTTTTTAAGAGTGTTTAAATTTATAGAACTCTGACAAAGGGCTACCCTGATTTTTGCAATTTACTTTCCAAAATTATGTATTTTAAAAATGTAGGGGAAGAATTTAACATTGGAATTTGTATCCTTTTAAACTAGTTATCATTCTCTAAGTGTTTCTCTAATTATATTTCACTGTTACATTACATGTAACATACTGAGTTATCATCTCAGCTGCAGGTTGCTGTACAGTAATCTTGTATTGTTGCACACCAACATAAATGTTGCCAAACTTTCTGTACATTGTTGTTTAAAAAAAACAAAAAATCTGAATAAATGTATGTTTAGAAAAATGTAATGGAGGGGATGTTGTCTCTGAATTACAGAGCACACATGGCATTTCTTACTGTATGCTGGTTTTCAATCCCACGCTTTGTTGTATACATCTAATGTCACAAACATGTCCTGCAAGTTTTCGGATGAGCTTTTCGTAAAGGCTTTTAAAAAGCACCATGACTGATAATAGGTGATGAACATGCGATCATGTATAAAGAAGTTTGTTGTGTTTGTACAAACAGAAAGCAAGGGAAAAATCACCTTTAAATAATTATTCTAACGTCTTGGTTAATGGCTATAACAGCCGTTTTATACATTTCTAGTCGTGCAAAATGCGAGACCATGGGTTTAGAAATGTAAGGTTGTGCAACGTGAGAGATGCAAAGAGTTTTTGCGTTTCTATTTGTGTGTGGTGTTGACCAGGTTTTTTAGTGGTGCAGGTCTTTATCTGCAGGCTTGTGTGTCCGCAGAGGAGCGGCTCGTCAGTATGAGCTCGTGTTGTTTTTCTTTACCCATCACTTGAATTGTCAATTTGCGTGGTTCTGTGAGTGTTTTCTGTTTCTCTGTGCTCCTCGTTATTACAATTTAACACATTTTTTTTGTTGATCAAAACATGACATAGCTCTCTGATAGAAAAAAGGTCTTTGTTTGTGACAACCTTTGTTTTGTCAGGGCTTGAATTTCACATCCACTGTTTGCTTCAGAGGATGCTGATTTTTTTTTCTCTCTCGCATCAAAGCCTCACCCACAGAAGTTTGGCCCCATGCAGTAAACAAGTTAGTTGATTGCTTTTGCTTTATATACCGTGATTTAATAAGGAAAACACCAACGCAAGCCAGTCCGAGCAGCGTTGGTGGTACCAATGCCATGCTTTCCATTGGTTCCTGTTTACATGATGCCCACAGGACACGCCGTGATTGGTGGCGCCTCACACGTGACCAGGCAACTTTGTACATTTGACAGGGAGTAGGAGGGTTTTGTGGAGATCAGAAAAACGACAGCGCGATAAAAATTAGTATTGTTGCACTTCACAAATTAATGACCATGAGTTCCTACTTGATAAACTCCAACTATATCGAGCCTTCCTTTCCTCCATGCGACGAATATCAGCAGAGCGGATACATCCCCAACCCCGGTGATTACTACGAGCGGCCAAAAGATACGGGCTTCCCCCATCACGAAGAGCCATCCTATCCGAGGTCAAACTACACGGAATCGGGATACGACTACGCTAATGTCCCCGCCACGGGACTCGATGATTTCAGCGACGGGCATCACGCACAGCCGCAGCCGGTTCCACAGAACCACGGTCCCCGCCTCACCGCGGCCCCAGACGGTGGCGCAGGGGCAAATGCCAGCAAAGACTGCAGCCTCGCCAGTGAGGTGTATCCCGGCGTTGCGAAGGGCAAGGAGCCGGTGGTCTATCCTTGGATGAAAAAGGTCCACGTTAACACCGGTGAGTTATCGTCACGGTTAAATAGCAGAACCACTGAGAAACAAGCACTGGAACACACGCGAACCTATTGAGGCAGCACTAGTAGCAGCCCTTACAACAGCAATTTACGACTATCGAGCAGCAGGGTCGGTAATTAAGGACCCTCGTAAATTTTATAGCCTGTGTTCGTCTGTCGGGGCCATGTGCCTTTGTTGCTTTTTAAACCCAAACTACCTCCACCACTGGATCCGAGCCAAACTGTAATATCCAACCCCGCTGTTTTGTTAATCATTTCTAAGCTTGATCTGTCCCTGGATGCGAGTGCTTGTACACTCGGCATCTCCACATTAAGGTCATGCCCGTAAACGGAAACAAGACAGAGAGTAAAACAAACAGATCGGCTTTAATTTCTAACCAAATCTAATATTGCTTTATAGTTTTTTAGCTTGTTATGCTCTCAGTGGAAGAATTAAGGGGGGGTCAGAATAAACGCTATCATGTAACACCTGCTTGCATGCCTCTATATGGCTTTTCTTCCCCCCTCCAGTCAATGCCAATTACACTGGAGGAGTGCCCAAGAGGTCCCGCACTGCCTACACCCGCCAGCAGGCTCTGGAGCTGGAGAAGGAGTTCCACTTCAACCGGTACCTGACCCGGCGCAGGCGGGTGGAAATTGCACACACCATGTGCTTGTCCGAGCGCCAGGTGAAGATCTGGTTTCAGAACCGGAGGATGAAGTGGAAGAAGGAGCACAAGCTTCCCAACACCAAGATCCGTTCCTCTTCTAGCTCGGCCTCGTCCTCAACCTCGGGGGCCCAGCAGCAGCAGCAGCAGCAGCAGATCAAAACAGGCCAGCAGCTCGTCCCCACGCCGTGCACCGTAGGTCTATAGTGCCTGAACGAACCCCCACCCCACAAGAACCCCAATCCAGACTGAGATGGCAAATAACACAAGTGGAATTTGATGGACCGATTCTCAGTATTTTACACTCATGGTGTTCTCTCCTTCCCCTTACCTCTGGGCCCCTGTCACGTCCTTTGTGCCCTCTACCCTCTCCGCTCGTCCTCGCCCTCTTCATATAAGCTTGAAATCCACCTTTAATTGCCACGGTGGCAACTGAAGTGTTTATATATTTGTTTATTATCATAAAAGGAAGGATAACGCACATTCAAACATAGGACTTGGATCAAATTGTATTATTACAGTTAAAACTGAATGAGGTCAAAGTAAGTTGGAGATCATTTTTTACGTCTTTTTTTATTATTTTTTTATTATTGCTCATGGAAAGTTCTAATATACTTGAAAGATATTTAGCGAGAGAATTTAGATGCCTGTTTGAGATCCACACGGCTGTTTATAGAGTGCCATCAGTCAGAGTAACATTGTAGTTTGTGTGTTTGAGTGGGTTGGTTTACTGTTGAATGTAGTCCAGGAGACTTTCACATTTTAATGTACATAGGCAGATCATAACGAAGGCACAATAAGGAGAGCATTTCGTCATGTAGATTTTATGTTGTTGGTGTCGTAAGGTCTAGTTTTATTTGTGCTAGCCAGTCCCATGTTGTGCTGTGTTCTAAACTGTGAATATTTGTATGTGCTGTCTTAGTAATGATCGCTGTGATGTCGGCTAGTGTAGGCTCAATATGTCCTTGTGAAATAAACATGTACTTCACTTATAAAGCTGCATTGGTTTTTGGAGATTTTGTCATTTCCAATTCTGGTTTTATTTGACCGCAATATTCATCATTTGAAACGTGCATAATTACATGCCCAAACGGGTGTTTTTCGTTTTGTTACGATTCATAATTTGTGGATATCATTTTTAAAGTATTTTTATTTTATTTTATTGCTGCTTCTATTCATTTCAGTATGTTCACAGAGATTTCTAATATATCTACTTTGAAGCGTTAACCAGTTATCCAGTGTTTAGAGATGCGTGCGTACAAATTTGTGAAACTGTGTCCTAGCTTGGAAAAGTTACTACTCCTCACCTTGACTTTAGATCATATATGTCATTTTCACTTTATCAGAGCATAAATAAAAAAAAATGCTTTATTGAATGAAATAATAAATCAGGATTAACGTGATTCCCAGTGCGTAAAGTTGCACATTTTCTCCAAAAGAAAGATTTACTGAGAGGGAAATCGTTCCGACATCTTTTGTGTATTAATCTCTGTATCCCTTTCACTTTGGACAATGTACAACAATCTTACAAACCCCATAAGCAACACGTTGTTTAAAGAGTTTAAAAACGTCTTATTCCATTATGTATTTTATCGCTCAATCGTCTGTAATTCTAATCCGTGAAATGTGCATGAATGTCATGCGTATTTTCGCGGATAAAGATGGAATGGGGAAAGAATTTATGAGGCAGATATCAGCTGTTTCTGTAGCAGCCTTTGCTTCCCACGCGGGAATCAAAGCAACCCTCAGTTGTTAAATGTATCAGTCCACACATATTGTTCTCACTTTGCATTATGAGGAGATCTCAGCCAACCTTAGTGCACTAGAGTGTGAGTGTTGGTCACTACCTGCTACATCCAAACAATAGAGAGTTCAACCAGGGGACACAGCCGAATCTGGCCAATCATCAGCTCCGAGCACTTCTTCTGACCCCTGACCTTTCGACACACACAGTGTTCAGACTATACATCAGCGCTGAGACCTCCACGAGCTTGGTCTTCTTTTTTTAAAAAGATAAAGACAGCATGGAAACAAAAAAAAAACGGAGTCAAGGTGTGAATCTAAGCCATGAATTTTCCCAAAATTATTTCAAGAGACAGCTCCTCTGCAATTCATCACAGAAACACATCTGTCAGGCCGCGCAGGGCACAGTTATGAGCTAAAACAGGCTGGCATTGTTCGTGCAATTTAGCATGATTTTCAATATTGTTATGGCATTGATGGGGTCTGCTCGACATTTAGGACTATAAAAGCATAATGAATGGGGTTATAATTAATTTATCTTAAAGGATAAAATAACATTCGCAAAACCCTCCACAGTAAAGATTCACACGACGACAGATACAAAAAGAAGTTTTAATTCCTTTAATTGTATCCTTCACATTTTATTATGACAAAAATATGAATGGAGAAACGTTAGCACCTTCTGTACACGCACTATCCGTGTCTTCATGTGTCCAGTTCAGGCCTCGCTGCAGACATGGTCGCTGTGCAGGAGATGGCGTTGAGGCTGATTGGAAACGATTTTGCGCAGACTCCAAGAAGCCCAACTAGTTAAATCACGGTTCTCATGTCATTTGATTCGGGGATAGAGGTCACTTCCAATGTTCTGAAATTTTAATTCGCTGGTTCACGTGACTTGTTCAATAATGAATGCCCCGGGGTCAGAAATAGATCTGAAAATCTGCCTTATTTTCATTTGAAGTGATCCTCTGCAGGGTGCGAGTCACATCTCCTCTCCCCTGACTAAATTCTGGATTCAGACCGACATGACCTGTGAGTAGATGTGCCTATTTCTTTCTACTAAGATTTTTTTTACAAAAACCTGGAAAAAATCTCGGAATTATTGTTGGCTTTATGTTCACTTGCTCATATTCCTCTTTTATTTTTGTTATACAATCGGCTTGTTTCTTACATTTTCTCTTTTTATATTACTGTGATTTCAGAAGAACTTTAGTGTATACATTTAGTGTACCGATATATACATATATCATATCATGGCATGATAAGGATTATTGTGATACATTCTGAGATATCAGTTATACTTACAACTGGCATCATATCGAATCTTGGAGTGAATATGATACAATATGATACCTTCTATAAAAAATGGCTAAAAGTCTTCACACCAGACCAGTTAGAATGAAAACAACTTCTTTACCTTTTACAATGAATTTAAGTAGACTAAATACTTTTGTTAAATATCTTAAAAATAAAGTGATACATACATATGGGACTGCATGGTGACAATGTTCAATTGCTATATCTTAAACGTATTGGTCATAAAGTGGAATAGTCAGTATTTGTGATTTGTGCAAAGTTAACCTAAAATATACTTTATAAGCATTCAAAGACGGAGCAAATCTTAATTCCTTTTATAATGGAATTAAGAAAAAAAAAAAGCTCAACGTTTTGCTTTTTGTCAATAAGATACATTTCACAATTAGATATATAATTAAGAGGAAGTTTAATTTAGCCCAGATACAAAACAGAAGTTTCTCCTGTTGCTTTAAAGAGCCTTTCAGCCAATCTGAACACAGAAGTCGATTCAGGCAAAGGTTAATCAATAACAAAGTCCCGGGACAACGTGAACATGTTAATAGTCATTATTATAACTTTTTAATGATCACGTTGGGTTACATTTTAACTTACCTTCACAATGTAACTGGTATTTAATGCATAAGCATTTTATAACACGAGATAACATTTCAGCCAAGAAAAAGAGCCAATAGCAGGGACATTTCATTTCTTTATTATAACCAACTTTACGCACAGTTACGCCGTCCTGCTCCTCCTTGGGGATGTCTCCAATTCTACCAAAGCGTTGACTTTCGCTTAGCCTTGATGTTGGCCGCTGTAAACCTCGCAGAAAGAGTTTTATCTTCGTCTGAGAGTATCTCTAACCCTTGCCTGCCTGTTTAAGAGCTTAGTGTCAACAATGTGGGAAGATATGAACCTTTGCCTGGCCAACATCCAGAGGTCTGCGCCTCTAACTCCTCTTTGCTGACAGTGATAAGGAGACCTGATTTGTGTAAAGAAACCTGAACTTTTTTTTTTTCATTCTAAAAAGTTCAGATCCAAAACATAATCAACTATAACTTTTTTCTTTCAGCAATTGGCAAGTCCGGAAAAAGTGCAACAAAAGGTGAAAGATGTAGGCTGGTGGCTTTTGGTTTCCATCTTCTTGTTTTTGAAATCGAAATAATTCCCCACTCCACACCCTACGATGCCTCTGCCCGGGTCAGTAAAGAGTTCAGGTGCGATGGCGAAAGGCAACGAGGGATTAGTTTCCATTGCGCGGTCATGGCGAGGCATACAATCCTATCCTGGTTACAGCTTCACATCTGTCACTAAAAAAGAACCAAACATTAAGAAAATACACATTTAAAAGATAAATATTGTGTTTCACAAAAAAAAAAAATTCTCCTATTCATAATAATTAGACTAAAATCCGTGCGTAAAACTTAAATCAGAATCCTAAATCATTAATATTCCTTCCTTTCTGAAGTGCTGAAGGCGAATTAATAAGAGCTGCTCTGCTTCTGTTCCTGTCTTTAAAAAGTTTGCCGCTCAACTTGTAGTTTGAGAAGACAAAGGCTGGTGTGGGTGTGGGATGCTGTCTATGTCCGCCCCACATGATTAATAGTTGTGGTGGGATTTTTCCACGCCCGCTGCTCGGTGTTGACGGAAAACAAGCGCCAACGGTGCCGAGATGAGAGCATCTCTTCCGGGCTGGGACTTTTGGCAAAATCTACTGTGGCAAAAGCCAGAAATATCCCATGGCACACGCATGGCACGCTCTTTAGATGGGATTGAGTTAATCATTTTGCAGCTTTAGGCAAACTGCAACAAGAATATGGCTAAGTTGGTACTTTTCCCACCATGCCCTCCTCCCCTCCTCTTTTGCAAAATCTCCAAACTTCCTCTACACAAACCTGTAATTTCCCTCAGCTGGTAGGAAACGCGTAAGCGCATGTAGGTCTAATGGGGGTCCATGTTCTGATCAGCGGGGTCGAGCAGCCACTCTTTGGTTCCATCACCTCCACTTTCCGCCCACTGCTGACTGACACGCACCCCTCACGACCACCAGGACGTACAGCGTCCTTGTGTAGGACAGGTAAATGTGTGGCTTTTGTTTTGAATTTGGCTCAAAGCATGCAGGCTTCTGCTGATGGAGAACCAGGGGCTACTTAAGTGGTGCTACAACCTAACTGTGGGTCTGAGAGCGGGGGCGATGTTGAGTAAAGCTCTGTGTAACCCTGGCTTTATTGTAAAGAGAAAGAAGGGATGATGAGGAATTATTATGTCATGCTCTAAATGGCGTTTTGTAGAAAAAAAAAAGCCCTCTCCATCTCACATAGTGCGAATTATCACGCTGCAGTGCAAAACACTCCGCTCTCTAACCTGGCTCTGAGCCGCGTCTGTACTTGAAACTCAGCATAATACAGCAGGATTAGCCCTTTCAGCCGCTAACAGGCACAGAATATATGGCACTTTAAACCTGACAGAGTAGTCTTTCCCCCTGAATGGGCGACACGTGGAAAAGCTGCTTCTCTGCGAGAGACCTGCTCCTCTGCCAGATACATTGCAGTGTCACATAGCCCTCTTTTTTCTCCCTCCAAACTGATCCGTTTCTCCTCAGGGGCAATGACTGCCTCCATTAATGATTCACGGGCTCAAATAAAAGGGATTTAAGTTGACGTTGCGTCACGTGAGCGGGGCGCATAATACTGCGCGATGTTATGGCACGGGGAAGAAAACCGAAGCCCCGGTCTGGCCATATGATGCTGATTATACGCGGGTTACCCCCACTTACCGTGAGGGGAGTCCGGGTTTTGTAGTTTGTTTATCGAGAGGAGAAAAGGAGCCGAGAGGCGAGCTGATGTAGAGAGGATCCCGGGTTTGTGGATGTATTCTACTGCTGTCACGGACGGATATGTTTTTCCACGCGGACAGAGTTAGAGTGCGAGCTTTGGGAGGATGGATTTTATTTTGAGGTATTTCCGCCGATTGTTCATTACTGTCGTGAGTTATTGCTGCGTGAGGCAGAGGTCAGTCAAAAGGGAGTCCGGGGCTTCTGCAGGGCGAGAATAGACCGATATAAGCTCTCTTTATATTCATCTGTTCATTTATGTCATTCTTCGTCGTCAATAAAGCGACACATAAATAGGCCTTTAGGATTTACACATAACTTTTATAGGTTTTTATTTTAGAATCTATCAGGGCCAGTAAGGTTAACACTATGTTCATTTTATGCACACCGGTTTAAACGTTTACATTGAGGCCTGGTACATTTAAGATTAAACTCTGATTACATCAACAAAAAATATTTGTGTTTTCTTTTAATTAGATTCTGAATTACACGAGCAGTCATTTGGATAAAGGGCCTGTACAGCCATTTGAAAATAAAGCATCTATTTGAATATCGGCTTCTAAAGAAAGAAGAGAACAGAGCGTGCGGCTGCTCCGAGGTTCAACCGGTCCTGTAAAACAAAACATCTCGTGTTGTTACGTGAGGTTTTAGTGCGTAAATGATACATCAAGAACGAGCGCCATAAAAAAGTCGGGCAAAGCGGTGGGGTTGTGTCGCTCCGCCGGGAAACGAGGATATAATGGGAGACGGAGTGCCATCCAGGATAGCGCGGCCGCGCTGAGGTCACGGTGCTCCTGCTTGATTTATGGGCCCGGGGACTTGGGGAAGATGGTGCGCGAGAGCTAATGACTGTTCGATCCGTGTGGAGAAAATGCTCACTGGGCAGCGGGGAAACAACAAACACGTTATTTGCATATATGAGCATTATATTTTATTAGTTTTTATATGCTGATAGGCAGACATATTTGAATGAATTGTTTTAATTGTCAGAGACTAATCCGTGCGGCTTTGTTGTATTTTTGTTTTCAGTTTAATGAATTGTTTTTTATATTCTCTTGTCTGTATGGAAATAGGTTTGCCTTTTTTTGTTTTAGAATAAAACAAGTCACCTTTCTTTATGGTGCCAAGACGATGTAGCTGTACGATACACATAATTCCATGTAGAAAATGTAAATAAAATGTCCCAAATAATTATGTTGAAAGTGTTTGTCACATATTCTAATAAATCTGGGTCGGCCTTTTGTCAGATATTTCTTGCGCCTTCTTAAAATTGTGCCTAAACAATTACTTATTGTAATAACAGACCTTTTATTTAAAATTCACTTACAATAAAGGTAGCAACTATTGGAAGGAAGAAATCCACATTGAATGTTTTTTTGTTTTTTTTAAATCGATTAAAAATGTGATGTTGTCCTCAAAATAAAATAACAAAACATGTATTCTTCCTTTCAGAAATCCAGCTGAGTGAATTCAGGCAATCGAACTTTGTAGGAGACACCTTGAACTGCCTTCGGTAAGTCCATATATCTTTATTGATTTGTGTTATGAATGCTTGATGGTGATATCCTTATTCAATTTCTAATAAGTATCCCACACGCCCACCGAAGCACGCGCAGGGATAGAGAGGCAGCTTATGGCTTGTACATTTCCTTGTAACAGCAATATGACCGGCGCGAGAGCAATAATTCCTTCTCTTCCACTTGTCTTTGTGGTGTAATTTGTCACTATAAAAGTGACGAGGAGAATCGCAGCACTTGGAGCGCTGCCTTACTCCTTTCACAAACTACTTTCTATGAAAGCCATCTGCTTTTAGCTGCTGTACGTTGCTGGACTGAAATTTTCAAAATGTTTTTCTTTTATCACCGATTTTTTTTTCCACGCATGTTTTTTTTTTTTACGCAGGGAACAATACAACCAACACTTCTCTGACATTTAACCCTGTGCTCAGGGCCAAATTGCAGAGAGTGACGAATCAGCAGTTTGAAGCACAAAGTAGTCAATAATTATACAAAGTAACTGAAAGAAAAAGCCGAGTTGACCAAAAAAAAAAATCCTCACGCGTGAATTTTTCTCCCACTCACCCTCCTACGCCGTCCGTGTGTTATACCTTTTTAATTGTGTCGATGTATTTCATCCCAGAGCCTGGAAGAAGCAGGGGAAGCTGTAGCTCTGGACGTGTTTACAGCCTCGAGTAGCCGGGAGGACATAAATCTTTTTTTTTTTTTTCATTCTGTCTTTTGGCTGGAAAGAGGCAGCATTACCCTGCAGAGGGATTCCCCCTGCTGCCGGCTCTCCTCTCCCCCGCTCCTCGCTGCAGGTCCTCGGCTTTGCCTTTTGGTGATGAAACTTCTTCCCATTTTTCACACCCTGCTCCCGGTGGGGTTTTTCCCTTGATATACACCGAACACGGCTTTGATGTGAGGCTGTTGTGCTTTCTAATCTTTGAGAATATAGATTGTATTCTACACAGAAAGACTCGTGCAGGCAGGGGAGAACCAGGCGCTGCAATGAGAACGAATTGTGCGCGCTTGTGCCAAAAGATTGAGGACAATATGCAAAAATGTCGGTTAATGATTAAGCCGTGGATAGAAGCCCCTTTTAGTCCCGTGGAAATGGAAATGCAGCGTCTGATTCTTCCTTTGTATTCTCTTTTCAATCCGAAATCTCTGTCACTCAGCTCATAACTCTACTGCAAGGCGTGGAGTAAATACCAACAAAAACATCAAAAACACTCACAGAATGGGGTTATATTCAGTAACTACTATAAGGTGTAGTATTTTTTCTAGACACTCCGACTCATTTGGTTGGGGGAGGAGGAGAGGCAGCCACTTGATTTGAACTGGCTTTCCAAGGCGCTACTTATTTGCATAATTTTTTTGTCTATGGTGACGCTCTGGTTCGGGGCAGTTCACTGGTGTCTGCATGGTACTGGTGAAGGATCACACAGTCCAGCATAGCCTAAGCTGACTTTAATGTTGCTATGAAGCTCTGGCCATTGCTCTATAGAGGATTAAATCCCGAGGTCAGATAAATCTTATCTCGCTGACCTGACTGCTCGCTCCTGCTTTCGTAATCTCGGTTTGCCCATCCACGTCGAGTAGAAAAAAAAGAAAAGAAAAGGAAGAAAGGAAGGGGTTCTCACTGCTCTTCCCTGTTTGTTGAGGCTGCTAATGCCTGGTGTATGGCAGGGTATATTCTGCTGCTGCTTCACCCAGCCAGCCCTGCCTGTAAACTTTTTCTCTGGATTACTGCTTTGATCGATTTCGTCGCTGAATGAGAAAGTATCGCTCGGTGCTCTGCATTCGTCGTCAGAGGATAAGGTAAGCAGGGCCAGAAATAGGCTCCCTCGGTTGTAAATGGCGGAGTTTGTGTGTCGCGCGGTGATTTATCACCGTATGACTTAGATCTCGGTTCAGGAAGAGTTCACACACACTGAGTCAGGCAGCCAGATTTCTCTAACACGGAGCAGGCTGCTGCTGCGGCTCCACGTAGAAACGCTCAAGTCTGTCATTTGTCTCTCTTTCTCAGCCATTTATGACTATCGCTATGGCTCGCCTGAAGACACCCAGCTCTCTCATATCTTTTCCCAGGTCACCGTGGGTGCACATAACGTGAAGACACCTTCTTTCACTCTGCGGCTAAACTGCTCTGGGGGTAAAGCTCAGGGCTAATTTTGAACTGATTTGCTGTTGTTATGCACAAATGCACAAACCCAGAGATGATACAAATTCTTAATTTCTTTGTGCAAATTTAATGAAAATGCATTTTCTTTCTGCCCTGGGACTATAGTCTTATTTACCTTTCTACTTTGAAAGAAACAATCAGATTTGTAATCGGGCATGCAGTTATAACAGCGTTACTGTTGGGATTATATTTGTATTTGACATATAACGCAAAATGTAGCACCTAACATTTCAAATGTGAAAACTAGGCCTATATGAATGAAAATATTTATCATTATTATTTCTCCAAATCATCTGCTTGATTGAGCGACTGTTAATTTAAAGACTGAATGCAGACTAAAGAACAACATGATTTCTGGGCAAACAATAAATTAAACGAGCGGTTTTTAATTTAATCTGTTATTGCAGTTTTTAATTGCTCTAGTGAAAAAGGCGGGCACATTTTACAATCTCTATCGTTTAATTACTGATGTTAAATAATGAAATTTCCCCAAAGTTACCCGTTTCTATTATAGTTTATAGTTTTCCCAATAATCTCTCAGAGGCTCACCTCCATGCTTACCTGCGTGAATGATGGTGCTTTAGTAGCAGCCTCTGGCTGTGCCCTCCCGGGTTTCTTCACCCCTGAGTACCGGACCTGGCTGCTTACCGGGCCGCTCATTCCGGCCCAATGACCCCCATACATCACCGCGCTGGGCCGCCGTGCAGACAGCACCGACAGCAGCCATTATTATGGGCCTGCAAGGAAAAGTTCACATCTTGGTCATGGAGATGCACGGGTGCCCGCCCGCCCGGTTTTTCAGGTTTCTTCGGGGCCTTTCCATTTATCTTGCATCATGCAAAGAAAAGAAAAGGAAGAGAATGTGGTTGTTATTGCTTTGCACCAGGTGCCCGGGAAGCACCGCGCTCTGAGGGCTGTCGGTCTTCGTTAAGAAAGATTTCTGGTTTTAGTGAAAGACAAAAAAGAGGTTTAACAGTTTGTGGAAACGGACGGAATATTTCCACATACTACCAGGGAAATAAGATAAAGTGCTGACAGGCCTGTTGGTAGAATAACAATAAAACTGAAATATTATTTCCCTGTGTGTGGTAACCCGCTAATAATCTCTCCCCACAGCATTTTCTGTGAATGTTTCTTTGAATTCAGTTTTATTGTTAACAGGCTCTAAGGTTTAAAATGTCAACCAGTTTCTAGTTAGATCTTAAAATTGATTTGGCAATCTGAAATGCTTGTGAAAGGGTTTTGTTTTGATGTGGTTTGGCACAGATGGTAATACAAGGTTAGTGCATGCCTTTGTGCCCTGTGTAAGCCAGAAGGTAAACGGTAATAGTCTACAGGACTGCTGGCCCTATCTCGCTTCCATAGTCTCCAGTGTCACGCCTGTATTGAAAAGTAAGATGGATCGCCACCATTTCTTCTCCTCACAGTGCTTCTTGTAACCCTAGGTTCACCCGAGGAGGCCATTGGCGGAGAGGCGTCACGTGACCACGGGGTGCCAATGTTATTCTACAAGGGTGTCAAGACCCTGTCAGTTTCTGAAATAAATATTGGGAAACGGCGAGATGCAAAAGGCAACCTACTACGACAGCTCCGCAATTTACAGTGGCTACCCATATCAAAGCGCAAATGGCTTCAGTTATGATGCCAATCAGGTCCAATATCCCCGCGCCTCTCATGTGGAAAGTGAGTACCATCGACCTGCCTGCTCCCTGCAGTCTCCTGACGGCTCCGTGGCTCTGCAGAAGCCGGGGGAGATAGCGGAGAGCTGCGACAGGACCACAGCCATTCAGGCGGCGCAGTCTAAGGTTCATACCGAAAGCAATCAACCACAGGTGCCGGTGTCAGGCCCACCCCCTCCCTCACAGTCCCCCGGTGCTATCAGCCATAACACGAGCAACGGGTCCAGCCAGCCCAGTGCCAAGAACGGCTCCCCGACCTCAACCACCCGCAGCAAACATATCTTCCCGTGGATGAAGGAATCCCGCCAGAACACCAAGCAAAAACCAGCCAGTAGCTCCAGCTCAGGTACTTTGCACCTACAAACTCATTTCACAAAGCCAATTAATCTTATAGCCTGACTAGAGAGTTACATAAGTTTTGTTGAGGGAGGACTTCATGCGTAGGTGGGTGTAGGTGGGTGGTCAGGTAAGGAGCTGGGAGGGAGGTGACAACAGGCGAATTTAAAGGTTAATCCGTTTTTTTTTTCTTTTACCACACTTAACCTCACTTTACTCATACTGCTGTCTTAGTCAGATAAGGCATTATATTCTCCACCCTCTTTGTAGACATGTTTATCATATAAATGGTTTTCAATTATTTTATTCAGGAACATCAGACAAACACTATCACAAACTACATTCCGTGTACAAAGTGTTTGTTCAATTGTATCAACATTGTGCAAATTTCTTGAAATGTCCTCAAAATAATATCATTCACATTAAATCCGATATACAGTACATATACCATGATTCAAGGCTTTAAAAGAAACATTTGCTCGAAGGAGATCCCACCATTTGTTGTCCCTGTGCCCTGCAGCTGACCTGTCCCTACTGTAAACATGCATCTCCCCTGATCACACAATGTTCCCACAGAGACAACAAACAAACACGCACAACAGTTGTTTCAGTTTGTCCTGATGTTTTGATTAGATGGAGACTTGAAGGGTCAAAGAGGGGGTTAGGGCTTTTCATTTACATGGTGAAACCTAAAAAAAATCAGAGTATGTCATGTTCCCATGACCTTCTTATTTTGTGTGCAATATTTTGATGATGCACACAGGTAGTGTTCAGAGAAGGCATCATTATGACGTGGTTGGGTGGTTTCATTCGTTTGAATCAAACGGTAAAGGGCTAAAATGTAAAGCACGTTTTACGCACAAAGATCCCGGTGTTTTAATCAGAGGGAAAATCTTTGTATCGTTGAGTAGGGCGTTTGGGTGTAAGGATCCTTCTAAATACAAACAATTAAAACACAGACATCCCGAATCCCTTTTTTAAAAAACGCCAAATGATGTGGGTCAATTAGATATTCAGTTATATACTTCCCTGTAGTGAACTTTGAAACATTCAAAGAAACATGGCCCTCTTCAATGTGTATATATATATATATATATATATATATATATATATATATTTATGATTAATGTTAAGGAGAAAGTTCTAGGATACTTTGACACGTGAGTATGTATGGAACCGCTTTTACGCATTTTTACGCACGCACCCAAACAAAAACTTTTGGGAGTGAGGAAAACAAAAGGTCAGGGTAGGGACTAGGCATTTATTTTTGCTCTTGCCAAGGGTAAACCGAATAAATCACAGATACGCATATACCTGTGACCTAAAATTGTTCTAAGTGATTGTCTACACCAATTGCTGAAATTCAAAATGTTGTGGTTCTTATATATTGCTTTTATGCACGTCAAGTCAAGTTTATTTATAAAGCACATTTCATACGACAGGCGTAGACTCAACGCACATACGCAAGCCAGATACTGCTATACGTTTAGATACAAACTTTGTTCATTGGTTTTGGGATATGTATTCTTCTTTAATTTGTTTGGGAAAGTGATATCATCAAATTACAACATTAAATTGTTTATTACAACAACACTTTACGCACGCTTTACGCACACAGAATACACAAAGGCCTGTACTTTACATACGATTTCCAGCTCATCCTATTGCATAATTCTACCCACAAGACATTTGGAAATGAATTACAAATAATCATACAGTAATAATCGTTGCCAAAAGTGATTGCCCTACATACACTGTTCCTCCTATTCCTCGTCTAAACATCGCTTTCATGTCTTTTATGACCTAATGACTCAGGTAATGTCATGCTGCATTCCTTTTGCTTCATGTTTGGGTGACAGGTAGTAAAATGTATTAAGTGTTGGACACGTGCCACAGCAGTTAGTAGACCAACGCCTTGCTGCTCTGTAGCCAAACTCCAGCCTCTTAGAGGGTGAGGCTTATCAGCGAGGGCGAGGCGAGCTGCTAAACCCTGAGGAATACATAATGCTTGTGTTTGCAGTACGCGTGTGCTACTCTGTGACTACAGGGGGAGATGAGGGTCAAAATGTTTTAGAAGGAAATCTTAGGTTACCTGGTTCCACACTAGACATTGACCCACTCCTCTCCAGTTACATTGTTTTTTTGTTTTTTTCTATTGCAGCGTGCACGTTATGTACATGGGTTGATAGTCAAATGTGTGGAGCCTCATGATAACTCATGTGCTCTAACGTAGCTAGCACATTTATAAAAAATGTAGTGATATTTGTAACACATGGCGGCGCCCACGTGCATACGCTGGCGTAAAAACTGAGACTGAGGAGAGAGAGAAATAGTCTATGATAAACTCCTATTTTAGAAGGATTATTTATGTGCTTTCTGTTTAGGATCCCCACCCCCTTTCAAGTTATGTTATCAGCTGAGTGAGTTTGGCCACACGGTTTGATTTTTCTCTCACTCTCCTGTCTCTGTACCTCTCTCTCCTCTCTGTCTGTAATGGATTACTGATTGACACCCTCCTCTCATCCTCCCTGACAGTGGAGAGTTGCCCCGGAGACAAGAGTCCTCCGGGGTCAGCAGCGTCGAAGAGGGCCAGGACAGCTTACACCAGTGCGCAGCTAGTGGAGCTGGAGAAGGAGTTTCACTTTAACCGGTACCTCTGTAGACCGCGAAGGGTGGAGATGGCCAACCTGCTCAACCTCACAGAGAGACAGATTAAAATCTGGTTCCAGAACCGCAGGATGAAATACAAGAAAGATCAGAAAGGCGTCGGCATGATGCCTTCTCCTGGTGGACAGTCCCCTCGGAGTCCCGTGGGCCCTGTCTCTGGTGGTGGAGGCAGTGGAGGATACCTCAACTCTATGCATTCTCTTGTAAACAGTGTACCTTACGACTCACAGTCGCCAACGTCTTACAATAAACCTCATCAAAACGCGTACGGTATGGCCACTTCATACCCCCCTCCTTTGAACAACTGCCCGCCCTCCCAGAAGAGGTATCCCGGGACCGACTCGGCCACGCCCGAGTATGACGCGCACCCTCTCCAAGGCAATGGCAACTACGGGACGCACATGCAGGGCAGCCCTGTTTATGTCGGCGGAGGTTACATGGACTCAGTGCCTAACTCTGGTACCTCCGTTTTCGGTCTAACCCACCTCTCGCACCCACCGCCTGCAAACATGGACTACAATGGAGCGATCACAATGGGCAACAGTCAGCATCACGGTGTGTGTGATCCCACACCGACGTACACTGACCTAACGCCGCACTACTCTCAGGGAAGAATCCAGGAAGCGCCCAAACTGACGCATCTGTAGCGGTGGATCACTCCGCCCCATTGTCTTATTCACCTCCAGACACATCACTGCTTTTTTCTGCGCCTACTCACGGCTTCCACCTCTTCTCTGCTTTTGTTTATTTTCACTATAGTTTGATGTGTGAAGTAGCGTAGGATAAATAATCACGACTTGCTTGAATTTTTCTCTATTTGCTCGTGTCATTGTCTCACAGAGACCTTTTATCTGGGCTGTAGAGCGGGAGGGAGGGGGGCACCGTATATGCTTAGGCCTATTTAATCTTTTTTTAAATCTTATTTTAAATTGAATCTCAAACAGGGTATTATGAACATATGTTATTCATTTTTTAATGTGAACTTTTCTGTATTTTATTTATCCGCAGTTGAAGAATTGTGTTATGCATTTTGTTGCACTTGTGAAAGGATCCTTCCAGAGCCACGAGCTGGGATTGTGAGGAAAACACATTTTCAAAAACAAGGGTCACGGGCTTACACACAACCTCCCTTGCGTGTGTTGTCCAATTTCTTATGTTATTTATTTTGTTGGGTGTAAAGATAAAGGAGTCCTTTAGTATTATTTGACACCTCACCGATCTGTATGTGGGGAGAAGGTTTGTGGGAAAGTATAGCGTCTCGGTCCTTCTCCAGCAGCAGCAGCAGCAGCAGCAGCATCTCACCATGTTGTTAATACAGGCTATGCTTCAAATTGTTATTCTTCTTCTTCTTCTTCTTCTTCTTCTTCCTCAATGAGGTGTTTCCTTTTCTCAGCGAATGTAAAATCAATCAGTGATGCAATAAGGGTGCAAAGAAGGACACGTTTCTTTATTGAAGATACAAGAAACATACATTTAATTTTTTTTTGATGTTATACATTCCCTGCTGCTCCAGTCCGAAGAACTAAATAAAAAACATTGAAATATAATTGCAGCAAAGCTGGTTAGTTTTAATTAAGATGCATCAGAAGCTTTTCACATGATCACAAAATTAAAACAGTTTCTTCAATAAAAATCTCAAAATATTTTTCTAGTTTTTCCATCATTGCATTTTATTATTAAAGTTATACAAACAGTGATTGTTTAGAAAGATAAAGCTGATGATATGAAGGGAAAATACATTTTGGGCAAATTCTAAAAAGCTTACTTACCAAAATTAGGACATAATTAATAACTTATGGTCCATAAAGAAATACATCTTCACAATTGGTAGTCTAATAATACATAAACGTCTTGTGAAAGAAAAGGATACAATTAATATTCGTTAACATAAAGGGAAATTACTGCAGACAAAAACAAACACTGAATAAATGCTACTTGTTATTTTTCCTCCCCTGTTCTTGATTCGACGTGAAGTCAAATTCTCCGGTGGCCTCCTTCCCTCCTCTCATCCGCGTGGGCACATCCATAATAATAAAAATGTCACGCGGGCTCCTTCATGGACATTCTGCGAGAGACAAACAAGCTAAATGAGAAATCGTTTGAAAAAATAATTATCTGAAATATTCAGTCAGTCAAATTCGACCAGGGAGGATACATAGTGAACTCGAATCATTGTGAGGCTTATTTGGTTCATTATTGTGCTGATTTGCAGAAAAACAGATCAACATAAAACGCCTCAGTTATAGATGGTTACAGTAAAGCACATAATGAATGCTTAACTGAAAAATGACAAGTGCAGTTTGTTAAAATGAAGGGTATGATTACATTTTGTTTTTTTATATTATTTAATTGAAATCAATGTCATTAATTGCAATCGTTTCTCTGCATTGCTGAAATGCAAAATACACTAAGCTAAAATGTGATTTTTTTTTGTAAAACTCAGATTCTTTGTGAATCATTTCTAATGACAAGGCCCTTTCCCCGAAATATCCCTCAACACTTTCTTCCATATTTCCTTTTTTTTTTTTTTGTAAAATGTGTATTGTGTGTATTTGCACTAATATTTCCTTTCTCTGATTTTGCACTTTGAATAATTTAAATCTGATTGATATAAAAGGGCACGAACATTAGCAGCCCTGACATATGGTTAGCAGGGAAACCTAGAACAATTGAACCATGGTGTCACAAAAAAAAAAAAAGCTGATGCATTGAGTATTTCCTCATCTAACACACACACGCACACTGAGATATACACGCGCACTCATGCACTCTTATACACAGACAGACACTGATTTGACCCATATGCGCCATCCTCAGGTAGCATATAAATAACGTTTTTAACTGAAACAGAAGATTTTGCATTTCTGTCATTGAATATCCCTCCGTGGGAAAGAGGTCTTAAATCAATCCTGCTGGAAGACAAGTGTGTAGGACAGGCTGGGCTCCACTAAAAGCCGCCACCCACTCCTTTCCTTGCACACAAAGCCAGTGCGTAATTCCAAAAAAGCCATCCATCTCTTCCCCTAGCAACTCCACAAGGTCTGGTCCCCCTCACAAACCTGCATGACTAACAAAATACCTCAAATACATTTCGTTCTGCAAAAAAATAAAAAATTGCATTTCAAAGACAAAAGCCAGGTGGGGAAGCTGCTTCGACCTACTCACCGCTGGCGCACTCATACCTCCTCCTCAACAAAAAAAAGGAAATGGTTGCATCTTGTGTTTGCTGGATTCTTATTTATCTTCTAAAAAATCCCTCCAGCGACAGCCCGGCTACAACTGTGAGCAGAAACTGGTTCTAATCTGAGTGGCCAGTGTTTCTCGCCGCTTCCTGGCTGCATTTGATCCGGGGGAGAGTTAGAAGCCTTAAATGTGTTGTGAGGGCACCGAGCTGTCAGACCTTTTGGCGAGTAAGATTGATCGCGCGAAGGCTTCCAGGACTCTTTGTTTGGTATATAAGCAACAAACTGAGAGAGGCCTACCACTTCTCCTCTTCCTGTCTCTTACACTCATTATTAAACCAGATATTTTATTCAAAGAATGAATTTACAGCATGTACACCTTGACGAAAAACACACCGAATGTGGCTTTCACAGATGACTCTGGATGGACTATAAACCGCTGCAACACTGCGGGGAACAACCATTCAATAACAATTTAATCTCCATAATAACGAATGGGCTCGTTGTAAATGGTCGATGGTGATTGTAATTCATGCTGAAAATACAGTGATATGCTTTTGTTAGCACTGTAGCTACAGTCCTCTCAGTAACCCTCTCTCTAGCCTGATTGATGGTTTTCTACTGTGAACATGACGATGAAAGCATTATAAAAAGTATTAATATTCGAATTTTTCAGTTATTATGGCGTAAATTATGGCAGATTTTGGTTATTGAAAAAAAATAACACTTTTAGCAACATGAAAGAAATCACGTGTTTCTCAAACTAATTGTGATATTTTCTATAGCAACGCACATGGGTGCTCATAAACCCTTCATAAAAAAATCGAATAAAAACCAACGAGCTCTGATATCATATTATAGAGGCACCTTACAAAGGCTTCTAATTAAACACTGTTTATGAGTGCACATGCCCACACACACATAAACCCACACTCATTAGTATCTGTTCACAACTTTTGTAAATCTTATCTGTAAATGTTAACCAGCTGTTATGGGATGAAATGGTCTGACTGTGTCATATCCGTCAATATTAACTTAATGGATTGGCTTTTTATTGCAACACATGTCAGTGGATGCACTGCATATTTCACTGTTATGCAACTGCAAAGAAGCACAGCTATCCTGCAGTCACTGAGCAAGCTGGAGTTGGAGTTTGCTTCTAAATATCAATTTTTCGGGGGGTATATTTTTTCTCCATCTGAAGGCAGACTCTTGCCTGTGTGAATAGCTACTGGTGTGCAATGGTGAGTGAGTGTGTGTGTGTGTGTGGGGTGGGGGCGTTCTCGACTGACATCTTCAAACAATACGAGAAAGAGGAGTGCACGAATCCGCGCACACCAGGCTGGGCTGCTTCCCTGTAATAGTGAGCGTCAGCCATTCTTAAAAACACAGATTTTGTGGCTTAGTGGAGTGGACTGGAGGGGAGCGAGGAGCATAAACTGAGCGGACAAAGATGTAAATAAAAACAGCCATCTCCCTGCTGAGCGAGGCGTTCTTCAGCAGAGTTTTTGGATCAATCAGGCAGACAGGGGCTTCTTTTGATTAAACCCCAAATTGTCATTGGGCAGAGGTAATCATGTGACAGGCAATTCGGTCCAATTTCAACCTTGTCTCCATGAATTCAATAGTTTAACTCTAGCTCGGTCCCCATACGGCCGTAATCAGTGAAATAGAAAAAACACCACCAGGAGATTTTTTTTTAATGATTTTTTTTCTTCCTCGTCCTCACTGAGCTGCAACATTTCTAAAATATACGCGTGCAAACTTTCCTCGGCTCTCAGGGAGCGGAGATGAATTACGAATTCGAGCGAGAGAGCGGTTTTATCAATAGTCAGCCGTCGCTTGCTGAGTGCCTGACATCTTTCCCCCCTGTCGCTGATTCATTTCAAAGTTCATCAATCAAGAGCTCGACGCTTTCACGCCCGACACTGATTCCTCCTCCCTTTGAGCAGACCATCCCCAGCCTCAACCCGGGCAGCCATCCGAGGCACGGCCGGCCCAGGCACAGCCCCGACGGATGCAGCCCGCTGCCCACAGCCTCCTTACCCCCGGAGTACCCGTGGATGCGCGAGAAGAAAGCGTCCAAGAGGAACCACCTGCCGACCTCCACCGCCACTACCACAATCTCGAATGGACCCGTGTGCTTCTCCCCGAAAGGTGGGTTCATTTTAAGAGCACTTGGCAAAAGTGTTCCCTATCTGGAGCTAATACAGAGCCTAGGCCCTTCCCTTTAAAATAAAAACAGATAAAAAAAAAAAACAGGTTTATGTTTCTACTGATAGATTGTAGTTATAGTGAGTGGTGATTGTGTACAAGCAAGAGGGGGAAAAAAAAGTTTGGGTAAAGTTTGGTGATGTAAGATGATTTATTCCCCGAGCCGAAGCAGTTTTGATGTGTGACAGTAATGAAGAGTGATGGAGTGCCGTTGCCGAGGAGGGCAGCTGGAGCATTCATTAGAATCCCACACCAGCCTGGACATCACTGCTTTTATAGTGTTTGCTTCACGCACAGGCTGCACCTTATTTTATGCGTAACAGTCTGATTCCTATCTTTATGTCTTTATCTTTATGTCTTCATGTTGCATGATTGTCTGGTCGAAATGTTTATAAGCTTGGGCCAGCAAAGCTCCAGCGGCCATTTTGCTGCAGCTTGCTGTCAGCCTCTCTCTCTGGTGGTTTGTGGGAGCCATAATGTTAGATTTACGGGCAGCGGGGTTATGTAACTGTTGTGTCCAGAGTTTTTAATCCCATGCTACCGTGTGTGCTTGTTTTCCAGGCTCGCCTGAGATCGTGGAGAGCGCCGGAGGAGGCGGAGGCTCCCGGCGGCTGAGGACAGCGTATACCAACACGCAGCTGCTGGAACTGGAGAAGGAGTTCCACTTCAACAAGTATTTGTGCCGACCAAGGAGGGTTGAGATAGCGGCCCTGCTGGACCTGACCGAGAGGCAGGTTAAAGTGTGGTTCCAAAATCGGCGCATGAAGCACAAACGGCAGACGCAGAGCAAGGAGAACCACAACGGGGAGGGAAAGGGGCCGTGTGCCGAAGACGGCATCCACAGCGAGGAGGAGGAGGAGGAGGACGAGACGGGCCCCCTGTACGAGCGGAGCGGGGCCCTGCTGGAGAGAGATACCTGCTCCTTTCAGAATAACTCTCTCGGCTCCTCACAGCACCTCCACAATAGCGAGGCTTTGGGTTTTGCTGCTGGGCCGCTGAACAGCAATGACAAAAATCTGAAACATTTTCCCAACCCGTCACCCACTGTTCCGGGATGCATGTCAACAATGGGCCCCGGCTCGGCATCTGGCCCGGACAATGGCAACAGTCCCCCGGCCCTGGATGTTTCTTTACACGATTTTCAACCTTTCTCCTCGGATTCCTGCCTACAGCTCTCCGACGCAGCCTCGCCGAGCCTGTCAGAATCTCTGGATAGTCCCGTGGACATTTCCACGGACAGTTTCTATTTTTTCTCGGAGTCTCTTACTACAATCGACCTGCAGCATCTGAGTTATTAACTAAAATCAATCACAATAATGATTTGCTCTTTTCGGGACACTAAAAATCAGGCTTCGGTGGTATTAACTCTGGTGTTATTTGTATATTCGGCACATTTATTCTGTTGATATTTGACTTGACGATTAATACAAGGTAAGGATGGAATTAAATCACTGAATTTGTTTTACTCAAAGTTGCAGTTACCATAACAAATTTAATTCTTGAAATGGAAATTAAGAGTTTGTGGCTGTGTGTGTGTGTGTGTGTGTGTGTGTGGGGCTGTGTGTGTGTGTGTGTGTGTGTGCTTGTAAATAATTATACAATATTAGGCCTATGGAAACTGGTCCTTTATTTTTTGTATAGCTTCCAATGTCTTGGATATTTTTGTTAGAATACAAATAACTTGCTACAATCTCCTTTTCTCTGGTGTTTTGAGTCGTTTCTTCTTCTATTCATAGACTGAAAAACTGTGATTGTATTATTTATGTCTAAAGAATTAAAAAATGTATATATATATGAAAGTAGGGTACAGAAAGATAGGAACATTATGCAAATGTTGACAACAGGTTGGCGATTAAATTAGATACGGCGTTGAGCTGTGGAGGCACACACAAGTTTGAATTATAATAGTATAGTGTAAATTATTTTAAAAACGGCTTGATTAAAAAAATGTTAGTAAAATATAATAAGCCTTCACTGTTTTTGCAAAAAACAATAGCTTTGACTTTTTAATTAATCTAATTCAATTCAAAACTTTTGTGAGAAAACTTTTTTTTTATGTTTCAGTATTTAATAATAACTGCAAATGAACTGGTAGCCTAATTAACACAAAGGATGCCAAGTTTCATTTCATCCAAAATTAACTTTTTTATTTATTTATTTTTATATAAGCATTAGTTATATTCCGTTTAAAACTCCTAACGTGAGGTTGTTTTTATTTACACCTTTAAACTTCATACTTTTGCAGAGTAAAAGCAAACAGACCAGCACGGATCTTAGCATGACAGGGCTCTTAACATTGTGAGCATTTTGCAGGCGAATGGCCGAGCCATGTTTGCCTTCAGGAGCTCATAAATCACTCCGTGGCATGAATGAGACGGACATTAAGAAGACCAATTGTGGCGTAATGTGCACAAATAAAACCCCACTTACATTTTCAGACGGGACTCCCCAATTCCTGCGCTAAAAAGGGGCTGAGTCTCTACATGCGTTTGGTCATAATTCATTTTTATAGCTTGTTTAAACACGACTCTGGCTCTGGCGCGGCCACATCGGGAGCATGCAGAAGCTGCCTGCAGATTAAAGGCTGCACATATTTCCCCTCTGTGCAAATAGACCAAACTCCAAACAGACTACTTGTGGAGTACTTGTATTTTATCAGCCAACATTTAATAATAACAGCTGCAGAGGGCTTTTCAGTTAAACAATATCTGGCTTACTTTTTAACTTTTTAAAGATGTTTTGTGCACTTTTTGGGGGTATGGAGCAGTTCTTTTGGAAATCTTTGGAGGTCAATACAGAGATTATGAAAGGACTTGCTTTATAGTATTGCACTTGCGTTGATTTATAGTAAACAGATATAAACGTGCAGAACTCGGCTCTCTTACTGCTTTTCCACTTAAGCTTTGTGTGAGGAAAAATAGAACAGCAACCACTGGTTGCGTCACAAATCGATTCACTAACTCTACACGTACGATTTCCACGAGCGCCAGAGTTCAGGAGCAGTTTATCGAATAATCTAGAAATCATAAGCAATCCATCGACTCCCTCAACATTAGCCTACTGGTTAACTGGAGTGTGTGTTTAAGGAGGGGGTTTTGGGGGTTAAAGGGAGAGGGGGCGACCCTCCACACTCCTTCACTCCTGTGACTAAGCCACAAACCCAGGATAACCAAATCATTCCGAGACAGCGCGCCTTTTCTGCGCACATGTGAGCACACAAAGAGCAAAGAAAGCTCGAGGCCTGGTGAAGTTTCCACATGCAGCAGGATCCTCTACGCCCTCTCACTCAGTGCAGAGGCAGCTGCGAAGACAGACAGAGGGGAGAGAGAGGAGGGGTGGTAGTATTGACCCCCTGCGACTTTTTTTTCTCCAGTGGGAACTTTGCACCACCTACTCACTTTCTTTAGCATTCCACAAGCTTGATGTATAAGAATTTAAAAGACGGAAGTGTCGATAACTTTTTAGAAACGTGACTTTATTTAGAAACTAAAATTGTCAGGAGCACACTACAGGAAGTCTCATTTGAAATTAAAAGGCATGTGCAACTCTTTAGTAAAAGAACTATGTGCAACAAAACTGTTCCAAAGCAAACATAGGCTAACCATTAGAGTCAGATTGACCCCTGGAATGTAATACACAACCTATTTAAATGACTAATTAGTATAGATAACAGCAGGTTTATGTTAATATCATCTTATAGGCTTAGGTGGTCAGTGTCTTTTTCTGTTGTATAAAAGTCCCAATACCTATCAGAAGAATGGAGCCAAGCCATTTTTTCCCTTCAAGTTGTATTGCAAAGTGGCAAGAAGTGGAAATAATGATACAAGTGCATTAAAATTACACTTAAAGGAGAAACTTGTAAGGCGTTTTAATCTGCTTATGTAACAAATAAAACAAACAAACATTAATATTATAATGAGTGAAATAAAAATATAAGACCAACAATATAAAGATTATTATTATTATATATGACTATTTATATATCATTATTTTTAAATGTCTGAAACCTCTGCCATGCGGTTTGTGTCAGACCAGACAATGAACACCACACTGAATAAAATGTGTTTTTCCACATTTTCCACATCAGATGCATTTTTGATGAGTGATACTTTTCAATGCTTAAATAGAGCAGGATTACATTTTTTGTCCAAAACACATGTACAAGTCAAAATCTGCAAGGTTTCTTGCATTACACAGGAGGTGCCAAAATATATACAAACCAAAAGTACCTTATATAGGCTTTGAGTTATTTCCTAAGTTACTTTCCACTATTCCCTAAAATGATCCTTTTGAACATCTTTCTATCTATCTATCTTTCTATCTATCTATATATCTATCCATCTATTCATCCATCCAAAACCAACAAACCAACCAACCTACCTACCTACCTACCTACCTACCTACCTTCCTTCCTTCCTTCCTTCCTTCCTCTATAATGCTTGGTGTTCTCTCACGGACTGCCAGTGGGGGCGCTCATCCCGCCATGTGATCCTCTCTTCCTCCCTCTCCTCTCCTCCCCTCCCCTCTCTTTTCCTTCCTCAGTGAAAGGTTGACTCTGCTCTCTTCAAGTCGCTACACCACAGCTCTCCCGCCCACTCACTCTCTCTCTCCCCCTCAGTCTTTTTCTCCTCTCGCTGCACAGCTTTCCGTAGCCATTAATTTCTCCAACAGCTTTATTTGATGAACTTAACAGGATAATCAGCCCACACTCGCACCTCGGGCTATATGTGCACATTATAGCTCCACGACGGACCCCGCATTATCACATCATTTGATCACTATACATACATAATGAATACATGTGGGAGTGAAATCAGGGTAGATAGCAGACCCCATGACCCCGGGAGAGAAAAATTAATACCACATCATCTTATTGTTAATATGTTTCCTTGTCTTTGCATCACCTGCGACCTCCCTGAAGAGCTGAAAAGCAGCCAAATGTTTCTAACGCGACCTTGATAGGGAAAAAGTCGTAATAAAAAAAAAAAAAAAAGCTATATCTCCCTTTTTGCTGGTGTCAGGAGTGAAGACTTCCTGCCTCTCCCTCAATGTCGCACCGTGAAAATATTTGCTGAGCGAATCCCTCACAGAGTTAAAGCGTGAAACAGTTCGCATTGGAATGGGACATTGAAAGCCCACAGCCTGAGGCAATCTCACACCCACACACAGGCACACAGGCACACAGGCACACACACGCGCACACACACACACACACACACACACACACACACACACACACACACACACACACACACACACACACACACACGCACATTGAGCCATCCATCCATTCGGGAGAGAATGACGCTATTATACAGATGGCATCTCACGCACAGAGGGCACATGCACTACTTTCTGCCCGCAAACTAACACGTTTACGCGCGCACACCTATTTCTCCTCCCTGTTCCAAAAATATCGTACCTGAGGTCAGAGTGCAGGTCTTCCTCGTGGAGAGGTCGCATAGGGTCAAACATTAATCTTTCCCCGGGTTGAGAGCGCATGTCGGTAGGTTGGAAGCCGCCGGTCTCCGCTCTTTATGCGACCCCGGAGCTGTCCGCCGCCGTCTGCCTCCCAGCTCATTGTTTGCTCGGCCAATACATTAGTGGCGACGCGCGTCACCTTGATCGACGAGCGCCTGGAATTTAAATAGCCACTCAAACACCAATCTGTCACCGGCTGAGGGGATAAGGACAAGTGCCTCACTGGCTGACCCGGGGCCCACGTGACAGCACCCGTTCATTGATATCGGCCCTTGCGCCCCCCTCCTTCTTCTAATCAGAACTGAGTATAGGTAAAGGTTGGCACGGTCACTCAGGGTAAGAGTGGGAGAGAGAGAGAGAGAAAGAGAAAGAGAGATCAGAGGGTGTCTGTTCAGCGGATGGTCCCTCGGTCCCGGTAGAACGATGCTACAATGAGCAGCTTCTTAGACTACTCAGTGATGAGCGGTGAAGGTGGCTCCTGCTCTGTCAGGGCTTTCCACTCAGACCACGGGATTACAACTTTCCAGTCGTGCGCGGTGAGTGTCAACAATTGCGGCGCGGATGAGCGTTTCATGGCGAGCAGGGCTTCCCCTGACATAATCCCTCACCAGCCCGGGTCATACCAGACTACCGCGAGCTCTCTGGGTCTCGCTTATGGGGCCCATCCGGCCTGCAGCTCCAGCTATGCACCTCAAAGTTTCTGCACTACGTATAACCATTACGCGCTCAACCAGGAAGTAGACTCCGCAGCAGGTTTCCCCCAGTGCGGCCCACTGATGTACTCTGGTAACCTTTCCTCCTCCATGGTCTCTCAGCATCGCCAAGGTTACAGTGCAGCACCCCTGGGTCAGCTGCAGTATGCCCACGCCGCATATGGCGGCGGGCACGAGCAAGCAACCCCTTTTCCTGGGTGCTCGAACTCGCTGTCACCTCTGCACGCGGCTCACCTGGATACATGTTGCTCACCTCTGTCTGAAGGAGCATCTTCTGCACAGACCTTCGACTGGATGAAAGTCAAGAGGAACCCACCAAAGACAGGTGGGTCCCAAGTGGTGTCTTTGACAATGGCATAGTTTTGTTTTTAAACCACACCAGCTGTAAACGTATCCAAACTCTTAAGATTTGATTGACATAATGGCAGATGTGTACACATTGCAGTATATTCAACATAAAGTTGTTTAAATTCTGGATTTGATATTTTCTTTCCTGCTTATGGCTTGCGCCTTATACACAATAGAACGTGTTGTGTTTTAGTGTTACTTTGGCAAGGCCTATATGAAAAATGAATCCAGAATGTTTAAAATTCCCTGTCGAGTAAAAGGGGTTCATATTTCTTGTAAAAGTTGCTCTATTGTTAGTAAAAGTTGCTTCTTGCAGCGAATAGGTTGTTCCATGGCACCAGCACTTTTAGCTCTTGTTTGCTGTGATTATAGAAGACATGCAGGGTGACTATCTTCTGCGAGCTCACTGTGATCTGTATCATTGTCAGGAGGCAGGTCCGGGGAGTACGGCTATGGGGGTCAGCCCAACACGGTCAGGACCAACTTCACCACGAAGCAGCTGACGGAGTTGGAAAAAGAGTTCCACTTCAACAAGTACCTGACACGAGCCCGGCGAGTTGAGATCGCGGCCGCGCTTCAGCTGAATGAGACTCAAGTCAAAATCTGGTTCCAGAACCGTAGAATGAAGCAGAAGAAGAGGGAGAAAGAAGGGCTGATGCCGGCCAAAGCTGCACCCTCAGACCCGGGAGAGAGGGTTCAAGATAAAATGGACGATGCAGAGTCAGAGAAGTCAATCTCAGCACCCTCTACTCCGTCTCCTACATCCTCCACTGTCTCCTCGACAGGCGCTGATCCTTACTCCTCCAGCTAAACTGCCTTGTTACCTCTTTGGGCCACAGGCGGCCTGTCTATATCAAAGCTCATAACCAGTGTACCAAAGCCAAAGTCATGGTGGATGGAGAGCATTTGTGGACCTTTAGGATGGGTTAATGGAGTATTTAGGATTTTTGGACAGCAATGTGGACCACTTTTGAGTGAAAGATTTGTTATATATTGTGTACTATGTTCACAAAACGCTTTTTTTTGCTGTCCACCAAATGTAGGTCATGTGTGTATTTTTTTTATTTGAAACCTACGTTGAATATGCGTTACATCACGACTATGTGTACTTTATCAGACCTGTTTCCGATCATTGTTGCTTCAAAGTCAGAAGTCTGCACACCTAAACAAATACCTCAAATGTGCCAAAGTTGTTTGTCATGGCCCCGGCCTGGCTTATTGCACTGGATGTCCCTAATTAGGCATTCCACAATCAAAGAGATGACCTCGTGTATATATCCTTATAGAGTACATTCTTATTTTACACCCTTAATCACTTTAACCGTTGTGTATAGGGCGAGTGTGTGTATGTGCGTCTGTCTGAATGCCCAGTTGTGTGAGATTGCATGACGCGTAATGCTTTCATGTATTATTTGCAGGGCGCTGAGTTTTATCAGTTGAGGAGCCGGTCATGGCCATGTCTGTTCCATACCTTTGTGTGTTGTCTGTATAATCTAGTGGAGCACTATGTTTAGTCCAGAGAGACGTTTACGGGTCAATCATGTGTATTAAAGTGCGTTTCCCTCTAAAAAAAAAAAATGAATCCTCTTTGTCATTTGGTGAGCGGAAGTCTTTGGAGAGACAATGGCCCAGATCTTCTCACCCAACCTTTATTTTAACCATTGACCATTTTCATATCGTTTTAGGGGCTGCACGTCTCTCCTTTACGCACGGCAGAGTCTCTCAATGTATGCTGTGTCGCGCGCGCTCCCATCCCTGGGGTGAAGAGTTATTGACATAATAAAGGCATGTTTATCCACGGAGGAGATGAGAGCGCGGACGTCAGCGTCATTTGTGATGACAACCTTATTGAGCTCTCGGCTTATTGAGGGGACAAAAAAAAGAAACTCTATTGATTAAAACATCGAGGTTAGGCTATCGACAAGGATGGTTGCCCCACTGGCCCTGTCAGTGTTAACTCTTCAGTCCCTCCCGGGTCACATGGAGGTGTCATCATCCACACCTGACGACACAATGAACAGTGAAAAGTTGCAGCACTGCATGTCACATACTCAGCTTCACAATTCAACTTTGGAAAAGAATTATTATCGAAGGTTTCGTCGACCCCTGATGTGAAATCTATTTTTTAAAGATAAGTTATGTAGTTGATCATATTACATTTACAAGTTAACCTATATTCAATTTGGAATAATATTTACTTTACTACAGTTTAGTAAGTATCCTCGATTCTTTCTTCAATTTCTAAACATAAACAAGTAAATTCCTGATTCTTTTGTTGTTTTAATTCCTGGAGTGCAGAGCGCGAGTCCATCTTACCATAAAAGGGCAAAAAACCGCCGAAAGCTCCGCGATTAATGAGCCACGTCCACCTTTACCTTGAATCTACCTGCAGGAAAAGACTCTTTCGGAGCTATGGAGACCTGCTGAACAGCACACACGGAAGAAGAGAGTAAGTTGTTCAGTAAATCTCCAATTTATTTCCTCGCATACTTACGATCGTCTTTGCATTTTATTAAGTGTTTTTTTTATTTATTTAAATGCACATCGTAATTTTTTTTGACAAGGTTAGTTTGGTGACTACAGACGCCCTCATTTTGTTGCTGGAGGAGTTGTTTCAGTGTAAATACAGAAGTATGGACACAGACATGTTGCTCAAGGGCCTGTTTGTGTTGTCAGGACAGAATGTGTTGATAAATCAACTTTTCTGATTTCCGGAAAATCATCTTTTGGATGTTTATGAGCTCTATTTGTACGACTAACTAAGCTGGTTTTAGCCTTGATGTTTCAATAACACTGATTTTCATGAAAAGGTCAGGAGAAATACGTTTGAATGTATACATATTTTTGTAAATTCAAAACGAGTATGGAAGTTTCTTTCCAGGAACAACGAAAAAGTAATAATTTTCTGTAGGCTATATCATATTATTCTGTTTTTTAATAAACATAATAATTTACGTCATTATTAGACTGTTCAGATAGGCCATAGAAGAAACACATATAGCCTAATAGACAGTGTAAATACAATAGGTATCATTTACATTAATTTAAACAAAGGAAAACATAATAAAAAATTCCTAAATTTTAAAGTTATTAAATAAATCAAAAAAACACTTTTGCACATGTTCTTTCAAAGAAAGATCTTGAAATATCTATTTTATTTGTATTAAGGGCTTTGAGGACAAAAATTCACCGCCTATTGTGTGATTTGAGTTTTTAAAAACACATTTGGATTTTGTTAACGAACCTCTGCAACTTTGGAATAGGTCCTAACCAAAAAAAAACAACACTAGTGTTTACGTGATTCCTCTAAATCGCCATTCTGGTGTCCCTCGATCCACATATGCAGCTGGGACCGACAACACATTGGTAAATCATTTCTCACTTGACATTTAAATTCCAATTTAATATTTTACCTGTATGTTAAACCTAATAGAGTTCACGCAATACAATTAAGTTGAAAATTGAAGTTATACGAAAACTAAAGACAACAACTTAATTTCATCAACGATTTAAAACAGCTATCTATAACCTATGGCTAAATGGGAGGAATTAAATAAATGTAACCCGTTCGTGGACCCTTGGGTGCCCCCGGAGCCCACTCTTTGGGATTGTCTCCGGGCCTCTGTGCGCTGTAGGAGCCACGCAGTGTGGATTAGAAACGCAGCTGATCCTTAAAAGGAAGGCCGGGGTCAGTCCTCGGTCAGAGTTTGAGTTTGTTGTCACAGCACCACCCACCTAAACAACAGTTTACAGAGCACACTTGGCAAACAAGCAGCTCAACAACGCAGTCACAGTCCAGCTACGACGGCCTGTTTGACCAAAACACCTACAGGCTCGTTGCTAAAAGTTTAAAATGACCTCAGCCTTGTGAAAGCAGGACGTTCAGACAGGCAGAATATTTAACCTCGGCGTGGCTGATGGTTCCCATTAGAGCCCTCAGATAAACACATGGACGCTGACAGATGTTTGATGAAAACCATTAGGGCCTTGTGAAGAAGGAAAATATGTTTAAAGCTCGACTTTAAGGAGATGACACAGACATTGTGCATTCATTCATTTGCGAGTCCTTGATGTGGCCTGACCGCGCGCCTTGTGCCAACCAGACATTAAGCCACAAGTTAATTGGAATACAGCTGTGAAAAAGATGTAGTCCAAATAAAATTGATTAAAACTGTAACGTAGGGAGAATGTTAGGCTGCTGACATAAAAGTAAAAAAAAATCACATGTAACTCTAATATTATTACCCGGACTAAAATAAAACATTTCTAATAAGGAGTAAAGGAAAAACGCCTAAATAAAAAACAGTCTTAAATACTGAAAATGCAGACAGATAAAAAAAAATTAACGTTTTTAAAAAACCTTAACAATGAAGGTTGAAGTTCAAGCATGTTTTATTGAAATAATAATAATAAATAAATATATAGCCTACATAGTTATATACTAAAGCAAGCTCCATTGATAATTAACGTTTTTTTTATATCGACCGGTGAGAAAGGAAATGTGTTTCACAAGAAAAAAAAATCCATATTTGTGTTTCTCAAGTTTGACTATAATTTATTTTTGAAATGTTCCTTATCTTTTTATGCATGAAATAAATTTGTTTTTAATAGCAATACATGAACTCAAAGTAAAATGGATTATTAAATATTTGAAGGCACGTTTCTCCCTTCCTGATGAGCGTCATTCTTTTGTTTTTTCTTCTGTGCTTTAGTATTTTTGCTGTTCTTTAAGTACTTAATAAAACAAATAAAAATCCTCATTTCTAATTTTTAATTATCATAGCCTCTATATATGTTTTGGAGAAGGGACGCTTCCTCAACATAGATTTTTTTTTCTCAACCTTAATCCATGCTGTGAAGGTAACAGTCTCCACAGGGTGCTGAAATGAATTTTTACTAACTGTGTGACAAACAAATCCTAAATTATCATTTCATGTAGGAATTTATTTAAACTGAATTAAAAGCAAAGGTGCAGAGTTGTGAAAGTGTCACTCTTCTTTGACAGATACAAAGATGACTTGTAGAGATGACAACTAGACTTACAGCTCACCAACTTCAGGCTGTAGAGGTATTTACTGATCCACGCCCCTCGAACACACACACACACACACACACACACACACACACTTTCACACAGTCAAGTGAAGTAACACACGCACATAATTTGTTAATAAACAAATGCAAATACAGGTACTTGTGTGAAGGTCATACAAGTTACATGCACAGGAGCAAGAGACACACACACACAACACACACACACACACACACACACACACACACACACACACACACACACACACACACATACACAAAGACAGCAGAGAGATAAAAAGAGAAACAGTGAGGCAAAAGGCTTACTTTAAAAAAAGTCACCTTCAAGTGCGAAAGGGATGCCTCTGCCTTTGAAATATCACCTTGCTTTATTTTTCTAATTTAACTTTAGTGTGTGTGTGTGTGTGTGTGTGTGTGTGTGTGTGTGTGTGTGTGTGTGTGTGTGTGTGTATGTGTGTGTTATACAATATACAATAAGACAATATAATGAACCATAAAGTTAAGAAAGTAATCACACACAAAAAATACATTAGAAAATGTTGTAAGCCCCTGACAAGGCTTTATTAAACAAGTATTGTACCTCCAAATGCACTTTGGGCGATGCAATCGAACCTTATTGAACCAAGCTTTCGAGGTTTAGCCTCATTTAACCATCTTAAGGATAATATGTAAATGAAATGTGAAGTGATGTTAATGTGATCAGTGTGACCTGGTGTCCTCTGCAGTAACACCTGCAAGGATTGGATTTCACTCTTACACACAAATCTGTTTCTTCTTTTTTTTTTTTTTGGTCAGCTATAGAATTGTGTTATAAAAACCCTCAAAGTCTGAACAATCAACTAAAAAATCCAAACAAGTTGAGCAAAGACAGACAATATCATCCCACAGGCAGGGTGACTGTTGGTAAGCAGACGGAAAATAGCTTGACGCTCGGAGAGAGCGAGAGGCAGACAGACAGAAGTCAGTCATCAGGGCAGTCCAGGTATTGGCACGTCTGCGCTCATTGACTACTGCCCTGTTGTGATTGGCAGCCAAAATGAATTCCTCCATCGACAGATTTGCGTCCCTGTGAGCCGATACAGGGCCGAAGCCAATAGAGGGATTGACAGTTTGATGGAGGAAGAGAACAAGGGAAGGAGAGATGACATCATGGGGTTAGTGGATGTTGTGTGTGCACATAAGCGATGAAGTTGTTGGTGGTGTTTAGAAAGAAAGGAAGGGATTTGGAAGTTTAGAGGCTTGACGGTACATGCAGAAGCAGAACTCACCTCAAATAGCCATCTGCAGGTTTGTTTAAGCTCCTTTTGTGTGTAGAATTGTTCCTGCGTGGATCAGAGTTGAGCACAGCCAGGACGCCTCAGCAGGTTTGAGGCCCTCATGAGCAGAGAAGACCGGGAGAAGGGCAGCAGTGTAGAGACAGAGCTCCATCCATCACACATGTCCTGACCTCAGCCTGACCCCAGCATGGCAGCCAATGAGGCGCCCGCACCCCCTAAAGAAAGCCCCATCACA